TTTGCCAGCTAATTCGGACAGCAGCATACGAAATGTAGCATCAACGGCATCGTTTGCCATTGTTTGCCAGCGAATTCGGACAGCAGCACACGAGCTGTAGCATCAACGGCATCGTTTGCCATTGTTTGCCAGCGAATTCGGACAGCAGCACACGAGCTGTAGCATCAACGGCATCGTTTGCCATTGTTTGCCAGCGAATTCGGACAGCAGCACACGAGCTGTAGCATCAACGGCATCGTTTGCCATTGTTTGCCAGCGAATTCGGACAGCAGCACACGAGCTGTAGCATCAACGGCATCGTTTGCCATTGTTTGCCAGCGAATTCGGACAGCCACACACGAGCTGTTGCATCAGTGGCAATTGTTTGCCAGCGAATTCGGACAGCAGCATACGAACTGTAGCATCAACGGCATCGTTTGCCATTGTTTGCCAGCGAATTCGGACAGCCACACACGAGCTGTTGCATCAGTGGCAATTGTTTGCCAGCGAATTCGGACAGCAGCATACGAACTGTAGCATCAACGGCATCGTTTGCCATTGTTTGCCAGCGAATTCGGACAGCCTCACACGAGCTGTATCATCAACGGCATCGTTTGCCATTGTTTGCCAGCGAATTCGGACAGCCACACACGAGCTGTTGCATCAGTGGCAATTGTTTGCCAGCGAATTCGGACAGCAGCATACGAACTGTAGCATCAACGGCATCGTTTGCCATTGTTTGCCAGCGAATTCGGACAGCCACACACGAGCTGTTGCATCAGTGGCAATTGTTTGCCAGCGAATTCGGACAGCAGCATACGAACTGTAGCATCAACGGCATCGTTTGCCATTGTTTGCCAGCGAATTCGGACAGCCTCACACGAGCTGTATCATCAACGGCATCGTTTGCCATTGTTTGCCAGCGAATTCGGACAGCCACACACGAGCTGTTGCATCAATGGCAATTGTTTGCCAGCGAATTCGGACAGCAGCATACGAACTGTAGCATCAACGGCATCGTTTGCCATTGTTTGCCAGCGAATTCGGACAGCAGCACACGAGCTGTAGCATCAACGGCATCGTGCCATTGTTTGCCAGCGAATTCGGACAGCAGCACACGAGCTGTAGCATCAACGGCATCGTTTGCCATTGTTTGCCAGCGAATTCGGACAGCAGCACACGAGCTGTTGCATCAGTGGCAATTGTTTGCCAGCTAATTCGGACAGCAGCATACGAAATGTAGCATCAACGGCATCGTTTGCCATTGTTTGCCAGCGAATTCGGACAGCAGCACACGAGCTGTAGCATCAACGGCATCGTTTGCCATTGTTTGCCAGCGAATTCGGACAGCAGCACACGAGCTGTAGCATCAACGGCATCGTTTGCCATTGTTTGCCAGCGAATTCGGACAGCAGCACACGAGCTGTAGCATCAACGGCATCGTTTGCCATTGTTTGCCAGCGAATTCGGACAGCCACACACGAGCTGTTGCATCAGTGGCAATTGTTTGCCAGCGAATTCGGACAGCAGCATACGAACTGTAGCATCAACGGCATCGTTTGCCATTGTTTGCCAGCGAATTCGGACAGCCACACACGAGCTGTTGCATCAGTGGCAATTGTTTGCCAGCGAATTCGGACAGCAGCATACGAACTGTAGCATCAACGGCATCGTTTGCCATTGTTTGCCAGCGAATTCGGACAGCCTCACACGAGCTGTATCATCAACGGCATCGTTTGCCATTGTTTGCCAGCGAATTCGGACAGCCACACACGAGCTGTTGCATCAGTGGCAATTGTTTGCCAGCGAATTCGGACAGCAGCATACGAACTGTAGCATCAACGGCATCGTTTGCCATTGTTTGCCAGCGAATTCGGACAGCAGCACACGAGCTGTAGCATCAACGGCATCGTGCCATTGTTTGCCAGCGAATTCGGACAGCAGCACACGAGCTGTAGCATCAACGGCATCGTTTGCCATTGTTTGCCAGCGAATTCGGACAGCAGCACACGAGCTGTTGCATCAGTGGCAATTGTTTGCCAGCTAATTCGGACAGCAGCATACGAAATGTAGCATCAACGGCATCGTTTGCCATTGTTTGCCAGCGAATTCGGACAGCAGCACACGAGCTGTAGCATCAACGGCATCGTTTGCCATTGTTTGCCAGCGAATTCGGACAGCAGCACACGAGCTGTAGCATCAACGGCATCGTTTGCCATTGTTTGCCAGCGAATTCGGACAGCAGCACACGAGCTGTAGCATCAACGGCATCGTTTGCCATTGTTTGCCAGCGAATTCGGACAGCAGCACACGAGCTGTAGCATCAACGGCATCGTTTGCCATTGTTTGCCAGCGAATTCGGACAGCAGCACACGAGCTGTTGCATCAGTGGCAATTGTTTGCCAGCTAATTCGGACAGCAGCATACGAAATGTAGCATCAACGGCATCGTTTGCCATTGTTTGCCAGCGAATTCGGACAGCCTCACACGAGCTGTATCATCAACGGCATCGTTTGCCATTGTTTGCCAGCGAATTCGGACAGCCACACACGAGCTGTTGCATCAGTGGCAATTGTTTGCCAGCGAATTCGGACAGCAGCATACGAACTGTAGCATCAACGGCATCGTTTGCCATTGTTTGCCAGCGAATTCGGACAGCAGCACACGAGCTGTTGCATCAGTGGCAATTGTTTGCCAGCGAATTCGGACAGCAGCATACGAACTGTAGCATCAACGGCATCGTTTGCCATTGTTTGCCAGCGAATTCGGACAGCCACACACGAGCTGTTGCATCAGTGGCAATTGTTTGCCAGCGAATTCGGACAGCAGCATACGAACTGTAGCATCAACGGCATCGTTTGCCATTGTTTGCCAGCGAATTCGGACAGCCTCACACGAGCTGTATCATCAACGGCATCGTTTGCCATTGTTTGCCAGCGAATTCGGACAGCCACACACGAGCTGTTGCATCAGTGGCAATTGTTTGCCAGCGAATTCGGACAGCAGCATACGAACTGTAGCATCAACGGCATCGTTTGCCATTGTTTGCCAGCGAATTCGGACAGCAGCACACGAGCTGTAGCATCAACGGCATCGTGCCATTGTTTGCCAGCGAATTCGGACAGCAGCACACGAGCTGTAGCATCAACGGCATCGTTTGCCATTGTTTGCCAGCGAATTCGGACAGCAGCACACGAGCTGTTGCATCAGTGGCAATTGTTTGCCAGCTAATTCGGACAGCAGCATACGAAATGTAGCATCAACGGCATCGTTTGCCATTGTTTGCCAGCGAATTCGGACAGCAGCACACGAGCTGTAGCATCAACGGCATCGTTTGCCATTGTTTGCCAGCGAATTCGGACAGCAGCACACGAGCTGTAGCATCAACGGCATCGTTTGCCATTGTTTGCCAGCGAATTCGGACAGCAGCACACGAGCTGTAGCATCAACGGCATCGTTTGCCATTGTTTGCCAGCGAATTCGGACAGCAGCACACGAGCTGTAGCATCAACGGCATCGTTTGCCATTGTTTGCCAGCGAATTCGGACAGCAGCACACGAGCTGTTGCATCAGTGGCAATTGTTTGCCAGCTAATTCGGACAGCAGCATACGAAATGTAGCATCAACGGCATCGTTTGCCATTGTTTGCCAGCGAATTCGGACAGCCTCACACGAGCTGTATCATCAACGGCATCGTTTGCCATTGTTTGCCAGCGAATTCGGACAGCCACACACGAGCTGTTGCATCAGTGGCAATTGTTTGCCAGCGAATTCGGACAGCAGCATACGAACTGTAGCATCAACGGCATCGTTTGCCATTGTTTGCCAGCGAATTCGGACAGCAGCACACGAGCTGTAGCATCAACGGCATCGTGCCATTGTTTGCCAGCGAATTCGGACAGCAGCACACGAGCTGTAGCATCAACGGCATCGTTTGCCATTGTTTGCCAGCGAATTCGGACAGCAGCACACGAGCTGTTGCATCAGTGGCAATTGTTTGCCAGCTAATTCGGACAGCAGCATACGAACTGTAGCATCAACGGCATCGTTTGCCATTGTTTGCCAGCGAATTCGGACAGCAGCACACGAGCTGTAGCATCAACGGCATCGTTTGCCATTGTTTGCCAGCGAATTCGGACAGCAGCACACGAGCTGTAGCATCAACGGCATCGTTTGCCATTGTTTGCCAGCGAATTCGGACAGCAGCACACGAGCTGTAGCATCAACGGCATCGTTTGCCATTGTTTGCCAGCGAATTCGGACAGCAGCACACGAGCTGTAGCATCAACGGCATCGTTTGCCATTGTTTGCCAGCGAATTCGGACAGCCACACACGAGCTGTTGCATCAGTGGCAATTGTTTGCCATTGTTTGCCAGCGAATTCGGACAGCAGCATACGAACTGTGGCATCAACGGCATCGTTTGCCATTGTTTGCCAGCGAATTCGGACAGCCACACACGAGCTGTTGCATCAGTGGCAATTGTTTGCCAGCTAATTCGGACAGCAGCATACGAAATGTAGCATCAACGGCATCGTTTGCCATTGTTTGCCAGCGAATTCGGACAGCAGCACACGAGCTGTAGCATCAACGGCATCGTTTGCCATTGTTTGCCAGCGAATTCGGACAGCAGCACACGAGCTGTAGCATCAACGGCATCGTTTGCCATTGTTTGCCAGCGAATTCGGACAGCAGCACACGAGCTGTAGCATCAACGGCATCGTTTGCCATTGTTTGCCAGCGAATTCGGAGAGCAGCACACGAGCTGTAGCATCAACGGCATCGTTTGCCATTGTTTGCCAGCGAATTCGGACAGCCACACACGAGCTGTTGCATCAGTGGCAATTGTTTGCCATTGTTTGCCAGCGAATTCGGACAGCAGCATACGAACTGTGGCATCAACGGCATCGTTTGCCATTGTTTGCCAGCGAATTCGGACAGCCTCACACGAGCTGTATCATCAACGGCATCGTTTGCCATTGTTTGCCAGCGAATTCGGACAGCCACACACGAGCTGTTGCATCAGTGGCAATTGTTTGCCAGCGAATTCGGACAGCAGCATACGAACTGTAGCATCAACGGCATCGTTTGCCATTGTTTGCCAGCGAATTCGGACAGCAGCACACGAGCTGTAGCATCAACGGCATCGTGCCATTGTTTGCCAGCGAATTCGGACAGCAGCACACGAGCTGTAGCATCAACGGCATCGTTTGCCATTGTTTGCCAGCGAATTCGGACAGCAGCACACGAGCTGTAGCATCAACGGCATCGTTTGCCATTGTTTGCCAGCGAATTCGGACAGCCACACACGAGCTGTTGCATCAGTGGCAATTGTTTGCCATTGTTTGCCAGCGAATTCGGACAGCAGCATACGAACTGTGGCATCAACGGCATCGTTTGCCATTGTTTGCCAGCGAATTCGGACAGCCACACACGAGCTGTTGCATCAGTGGCAATTGTTTGCCAGCTAATTCGGACAGCAGCATACGAAATGTAGCATCAACGGCATCGTTTGCCATTGTTTGCCAGCGAATTCGGACAGCAGCACACGAGCTGTAGCATCAACGGCATCGTTTGCCATTGTTTGCCAGCGAATTCGGACAGCCACACACGAGCTTTGCATCGTTTGCCATTGTTTGCCAGCGAATTCGGACAGCAGCACACGAGCTGTAGCATCAACGGCATCGTTTGCCATTGTTTGCCAGCGAATTCGGACAGCAGCACACGAGCTGTAGCATCAACGGCATCGTTTGCCATTGTTTGCCAGCGAATTCGGACAGCAGCACACGAGCTGTAGCATCAACGGCATCGTTTGCCATTGTTTGCCAGCGAATTCGGACAGCAGCACACGAGCTGTAGCATCAACGGCATCGTTTGCCATTGTTTGCCAGCGAATTCGGACAGCAGCACACGAGCTGTAGCATCAACGGCATCGTTTGCCATTGTTTGCCAGCGAATTCGGACAGCCACACACGAGCTGTTGCATCAGTGGCAATTGTTTGCCATTGTTTGCCAGCGAATTCGGACAGCAGCATACGAACTGTGGCATCAACGGCATCGTTTGCCATTGTTTGCCAGCGAATTCGGACAGCCTCACACGAGCTGTATCATCAACGGCATCGTTTGCCATTGTTTGCCAGCGAATTCGGACAGCCACACACGAGCTGTTGCATCAGTGGCAATTGTTTGCCAGCGAATTCGGACAGCAGCATACGAACTGTAGCATCAACGGCATCGTTTGCCATTGTTTGCCAGCGAATTCGGACAGCAGCACACGAGCTGTAGCATCAACGGCATCGTGCCATTGTTTGCCAGCGAATTCGGACAGCAGCACACGAGCTGTAGCATCAACGGCATCGTTTGCCATTGTTTGCCAGCGAATTCGGACAGCAGCACACGAGCTGTTGCATCAGTGGCAATTGTTTGCCAGCTAATTCGGACAGCAGCATACGAAATGTAGCATCAACGGCATCGTTTGCCATTGTTTGCCAGCGAATTCGGACAGCAGCACACGAGCTGTAGCATCAACGGCATCGTTTGCCATTGTTTGCCAGCGAATTCGGACAGCAGCACACGAGCTGTAGCATCAACGGCATCGTTTGCCATTGTTTGCCAGCGAATTCGGACAGCAGCACACGAGCTGTAGCATCAACGGCATCGTTTGCCATTGTTTGCCAGCGAATTCGGACAGCAGCACACGAGCTGTAGCATCAACGGCATCGTTTGCCATTGTTTGCCAGCGAATTCGGACAGCCACACACGAGCTGTTGCATCAGTGGCAATTGTTTGCCATTGTTTGCCAGCGAATTCGGACAGCAGCATACGAACTGTGGCATCAACGGCATCGTTTGCCATTGTTTGCCAGCGAATTCGGACAGCCTCACACGAGCTGTATCATCAACGGCATCGTTTGCCATTGTTTGCCAGCGAATTCGGACAGCCACACACGAGCTGTTGCATCAGTGGCAATTGTTTGCCAGCGAATTCGGACAGCAGCATACGAACTGTAGCATCAACGGCATCGTTTGCCATTGTTTGCCAGCGAATTCGGACAGCAGCACACGAGCTGTAGCATCAACGGCATCGTTTGCCATTGTTTGCCAGCGAATTCGGACAGCAGCACACGAGCTGTAGCATCAACGGCATCGTTTGCCATTGTTTGCCAGCGAATTCGGACAGCAGCACACGAGCTGTAGCATCAACGGCATCGTTTGCCATTGTTTGCCAGCGAATTCGGACAGCAGCACACGAGCTGTAGCATCAACGGCATCGTTTGCCATTGTTTGCCAGCGAATTCGGACAGCCACACACGAGCTGTTGCATCAGTGGCAATTGTTTGCCATTGTTTGCCAGCGAATTCGGACAGCAGCATACGAACTGTGGCATCAACGGCATCGTTTGCCATTGTTTGCCAGCGAATTCGGACAGCCTCACACGAGCTGTATCATCAACGGCATCGTTTGCCATTGTTTGCCAGCGAATTCGGACAGCCACACACGAGCTGTTGCATCAGTGGCAATTGTTTGCCAGCGAATTCGGACAGCAGCATACGAACTGTAGCATCAACGGCATCGTTTGCCATTGTTTGCCAGCGAATTCGGACAGCAGCACACGAGCTGTAGCATCAACGGCATCGTGCCATTGTTTGCCAGCGAATTCGGACAGCAGCACACGAGCTGTAGCATCAACGGCATCGTTTGCCATTGTTTGCCAGCGAATTCGGACAGCAGCACACGAGCTGTTGCATCAGTGGCAATTGTTTGCCAGCTAATTCGGACAGCAGCATACGAAATGTAGCATCAACGGCATCGTTTGCCATTGTTTGCCAGCGAATTCGGACAGCAGCACACGAGCTGTAGCATCAACGGCATCGTTTGCCATTGTTTGCCAGCGAATTCGGACAGCAGCACACGAGCTGTAGCATCAACGGCATCGTTTGCCATTGTTTGCCAGCGAATTCGGACAGCAGCACACGAGCTGTAGCATCAACGGCATCGTTTGCCATTGTTTGCCAGCGAATTCGGACAGCCACACACGAGCTGTTGCATCAGTGGCAATTGTTTGCCATTGTTTGCCAGCGAATTCGGACAGCAGCATACGAACTGTAGCATCAACGGCATCGTTTGCCATTGTTTGCCAGCGAATTCGGACAGCAGCACACGAGCTGTAGCATCAACGGCATCGTGCCATTGTTTGCCAGCGAATTCGGACAGCAGCACACGAGCTGTAGCATCAACGGCATCGTTTGCCATTGTTTGCCAGCGAATTCGGACAGCAGCACACGAGCTGTTGCATCAGTGGCAATTGTTTGCCAGCTAATTCGGACAGCAGCATACGAAATGTAGCATCAACGGCATCGTTTGCCATTGTTTGCCAGCGAATTCGGACAGCAGCACACGAGCTGTAGCATCAACGGCATCGTTTGCCATTGTTTGCCAGCGAATTCGGACAGCAGCACACGAGCTGTAGCATCAACGGCATCGTTTGCCATTGTTTGCCAGCGAATTCGGACAGCAGCACACGAGCTGTAGCATCAACGGCATCGTTTGCCATTGTTTGCCAGCGAATTCGGACAGCCACACACGAGCTGTTGCATCAGTGGCAATTGTTTGCCAGCGAATTCGGACAGCAGCATACGAACTGTAGCATCAACGGCATCGTTTGCCATTGTTTGCCAGCGAATTCGGACAGCCACTCACGAACTGTAGCATCAACGGCATCGTTTGCCATTGTTTGCCAGCGAATTCGGACAGCCACACACGAGCTGTTGCATCAGTGGCAATTGTTTGCCAGCGAATTCGGACAGCAGCATACGAACTGTAGCATCAACGGCATCGTTTGCCATTGTTTGCCAGCGAATTCGGACAGCCACTCACGAACTGTAGCATCAACGGCATCGTTTGCCATTGTTTGCCAGCGAATTCGGACAGCCACACACGAGCTGTTGCATCAGTGGCAATTGTTTGCCAGCGAATTCGGACAGCAGCATACGAACTGTAGCATCAACGGCATCGTTTGCCATTGTTTGCCAGCGAATTCGGGCAGCCACACACGAGCTGTTGCATCAGTGGCAATTGTTTGCCAGCGAATTCGGACAGCAGCATACGAACTGTAGCATCAACGGCATCGTTTGCCATTGTTTGCCAGCGAATTCGGACAGCAGCACACGAGCTGTAGCATCAACGGCATCGTTTGCCATTGTTTGCCAGCGAATTCGGACAGCAGCACACGAGCTGTTGCATCAGTGGCAATTGTTTGCCAGCGAATTCGGACAGCAGCATACGAAATGTAGCATCAACGGCATCGTTTGCCATTGCTTGCCAGCGAATTCGGACAGCAGCACACGAGCTGTAGCATCAACGGCATCGTTTGCCATTGTTTGCCAGCGAATTCGGACAGCAGCACACGAGCTGTAGCATCAACGGCATCGTTTGCCATTGTTTGCCAGCGAATTCGGACAGCAGCACACGAGCTGTAGCATCAACGGCATCGTTTGCCATTGTTTGCCAGCGAATTCGGACAGCCACACACGAGCTGTTGCATCAGTGGCAATTGTTTGCCATTGTTTGCCAGCGAATTCGGACAGCAGCATACGAACTGTGGCATCAACGGCATCGTTTGCCATTGTTTGCCAGCGAATTCGGACAGCCACACACGAGCTGTTGCATCAGTGGCAATTGTTTGCCAGCGAATTCGGACAGCAGCACACGAGCTGTAGCATCAACGGCGTTTGCCATTGTTTGCCAGCGAATTCGGACAGCAGCACACGAACTGTAGCATCAACGGCATCGTTTGCCATTGTTTGCCAGCGAATTCGGACAGCCACACACGAGCTGTTGCATCAGTGGCAATTGTTTGCCAGCGAATTCGGGCAGCCACTCACGAACTGTAGCATCAACGGCATCGTTTGCCATTGTTTGCCAGCGAATTCGGACAGCCACACACGAGCTGTTGCATCAGTGGCAATTGTTTGCCAGCGAATTCGGACAGCAGCATACGAACTGTAGCATCAACGGCATCGTTCGCCATTGTTTGCCAGCGAATTCGGACAGCCACACACGAGCTGTTGCATCAGTGGCAATTGTTTGCCAGCGAATTCGGACAGCAGCACACGAGCTGTAGCATCAATGGCATCGTTTGCCATTGTTTGCCAGCGAATTCGGACAGCAGCACACGAACTGTAGCATCAACGGCATCGTTTGCCATTGTTTGCCAGCGAATTCGGACAGCCACACACGAGCTGTTGCATCAGTGGCAATTGTTTGCCAGCGAATTCGGGCAGCCACTCACGAACTGTAGCATCAACGGCATCGTTTGCCATTGTTTGCCAGCGAATTCGGACAGCCACTCACGAACTGTAGCATCAACGGCATCGTTTGCCATTGTTTGCCAGCGAATTCGGACAGCCACACACGAGCTGTTGCATCAGTGGCAATTGTTTGCCAGCGAATTCGGACAGCAGCATACGAACTGTAGCATCAACGGCATCGTTTGCCATTGTTTGCCAGCGAATTCGGGCAGCCACACACGAGCTGTTGCATCAGTGGCAATTGTTTGCCAGCGAATTCGGACAGCAGCATACGAACTGTAGCATCAACGGCATCGTTTGCCATTGTTTGCCAGCGAATTCGGACAGCAGCACACGAGCTGTAGCATCAACGGCATCGTTTGCCATTGTTTGCCAGCGAATTCGGACAGCAGCACACGAGCTGTTGCATCAGTGGCAATTGTTTGCCAGCGAATTCGGACAGCAGCATACGAAATGTAGCATCAACGGCATCGTTTGCCATTGCTTGCCAGCGAATTCGGACAGCAGCACACGAGCTGTAGCATCAACGGCATCGTTTGCCATTGTTTGCCAGCGAATTCGGACAGCAGCACACGAGCTGTAGCATCAACGGCATCGTTTGCCATTGTTTGCCAGCGAATTCGGACAGCAGCACACGAGCTGTAGCATCAACGGCATCGTTTGCCATTGTTTGCCAGCGAATTCGGACAGCCACACACGAGCTGTTGCATCAGTGGCAATTGTTTGCCATTGTTTGCCAGCGAATTCGGACAGCAGCATACGAACTGTGGCATCAACGGCATCGTTTGCCATTGTTTGCCAGCGAATTCGGACAGCCACACACGAGCTGTTGCATCAGTGGCAATTGTTTGCCAGCGAATTCGGACAGCAGCACACGAGCTGTAGCATCAACGGCGTTTGCCATTGTTTGCCAGCGAATTCGGACAGCAGCACACGAACTGTAGCATCAACGGCATCGTTTGCCATTGTTTGCCAGCGAATTCGGACAGCCACACACGAGCTGTTGCATCAGTGGCAATTGTTTGCCAGCGAATTCGGGCAGCCACTCACGAACTGTAGCATCAACGGCATCGTTTGCCATTGTTTGCCAGCGAATTCGGACAGCCACACACGAGCTGTTGCATCAGTGGCAATTGTTTGCCAGCGAATTCGGACAGCAGCATACGAACTGTAGCATCAACGGCATCGTTTGCCATTGTTTGCCAGCGAATTCGGACAGCCACACACGAGCTGTTGCATCAGTGGCAATTGTTTGCCAGCGAATTCGGACAGCAGCACACGAGCTGTAGCATCAACGGCATCGTTTGCCATTGTTTGCCAGCGAATTCGGACAGCAGCACACGAACTGTAGCATCAACGGCATCGTTTGCCATTGTTTGCCAGCGAATTCGGACAGCCACACACGAGCTGTTGCATCAGTGGCAATTGTTTGCCAGCGAATTCGGACAGCAGCATACGAACTGTAGCATCAACGGCATCGTTTGCCATTGTTTGCCAGCGAATTCGGACAGCCACACACGAGCTGTTGCATCAGTGGCAATTGTTTGCCAGCGAATTCGGACAGCAGCATACGAACTGTAGCATCAACGGCATCGTTTGCCATTGTTTGCCAGCGAATTCGGACAGCCACTCACGAACTGTAGCATCAACGGCATCGTTTGCCATTGTTTGCCAGCGAATTCGGACAGCAGCACACGAGCTGTAGCATCAACGGCATCGTTTGCCATTGTTTGCCAGCGAATTCGGACAGCAGCACACGAGCTGTAGCATCAACGGCATCGTTTGCCATTGTTTGCCAGCGAATTCGGACAGCCACACACGAGCTGTTGCATCAACGGCAATTGTTTGCCAGCGAATTCGGACAGCAGCACACGAACTGTAGCATCAACGGCATCGTTTACCATTGTTTGCCAGCGAATTCGGACAGCAGCATACGAACTGTAGCATCAACGGCATCGTTTGCCATTGTTTGCCAGCGAATCGGACAGCAGCACACGAGCTGTAGCATCAACGGCATCGTTTGCCAGCGAATTCGGACAGCATCACACAAGCTGTTGCATCACTGGCAATTGTTTGCCAGCGAATTCGGACAGCAGCATACGAACTGTAGCATCAACGGCATCGTTTGCCATTGTTTGCCAGCGAATTCGGACAGCAGCACACGAACTGTAGCATCAACGGCATCGTTTGCCATTGTTTGCCAGCGAATTCGGACAGCCACACACGAGCTGTTGCATCAGTGGCAATTGTTTGCCAGCGAATTCGGACAGCAGCATACGAACTGTAGCATCAACGGCATCGTTTGCCATTGTTTGCCAGCGAATTCGGACAGCCACACACGAGCTGTTGCATCAGTGGCAATTGTTTGCCAGCGAATTCGGACAGCAGCATACGAACTGTAGCATCAACGGCATCGTTTGCCATTGTTTGCCAGCGAATTCGGACAGCCACTCACGAACTGTAGCATCAACGGCATCGTTTGCCATTGTTTGCCAGCGAATTCGGACAGCAGCACACGAGCTGTAGCATCAACGGCATCGTTTGCCATTGTTTGCCAGCGAATTCGGACAGCAGCACACGAGCTGTAGCATCAACGGCATCGTTTGCCATTGTTTGCCAGCGAATTCGGACAGCCACACACGAGCTGTTGCATCAACGGCAATTGTTTGCCAGCGAATTCGGACAGCAGCACACGAACTGTAGCATCAACGGCATCGTTTACCATTGTTTGCCAGCGATTTCGGACAGCAGCATACGAACTGTAGCATCAACGGCATCGTTTGCCATTGTTTGCCAGCGAATCGGACAGCAGCACACGAGCTGTAGCATCAACGGCATCGTTTGCCAGCGAATTCGGACAGCATCACACAAGCTGTTGCATCACTGGCAATTGTTTGCCAGCGAATTCGGACAGCAGCATACGAACTGTAGCATCAACGGCATCGTTTGCCATTGTTTGCCAGCGAATTCGGACAGCAGCACACGAACTGTAGCATCAACGGCATCGTTTGCCATTGTTTGCCAGCGAATTCGGACAGCAGCACACGAGCTGTAGCATCAACGGCATCGTTTGCCAGCGAATTCGGACAGCAGCACACAAGCTGTTGCATCAGTGGCAATTGTTTGCCAGCGAATTCGGACAGCAGCATACGAACTGTAGCATCAACGGCATCGTTTGCCATTGTTTGCCAGCGAATTCGGACAGCAGCACACGAGCTGTAGCATCAACGGCGTTTGCCATTGTTTGCCAGCGAATTCGGACAGCAGCACACGAACTGTAGCATCAACGGCATCGTTTGCCATTGTTTGCCAGCGAATTCGGGCAGCCACTCACGAACTGTAGCATCAACGGCATCGTTTGCCATTGTTTGCCAGCGAATTCGGACAGCCACACACGAGCTGTTGCATCAGTGGCAATTGTTTGCCAGCGAATTCGGACAGCAGCATACGAACTGTAGCATCAACGGCATCGTTTGCCATTGTTTGCCAGCGAATTCGGACAGCCACTCACGAACTGTAGCATCAACGGCATCGTTTGCCATTGTTTGCCAGCGAATTCGGACAGCAGCACACGAGCTGTAGCATCAACGGCATCTTTTGCCATTGTTTGCCAGCGAATTCGGACAGCAGCACACGAGCTGTAGCATCAACGGCATCGTTTGCCATTGTTTGCCAGCGAATTCGGACAGCCACACACGAGCTGTTGCATCAACGGCAATTGTTTGCCAGCGAATTCGGACAGCAGCACACGAACTGTAGCATCAACGGCATCGTTTACCATTGTTTGCCAGCGAATTCGGACAGCAGCATACGAACTGTAGCATCAACGGCATCGTTTGCCATTGTTTGCCAGCGAATCGGACAGCAGCACACGAGCTGTAGCATCAACGGCATCGTTTGCCAGCGAATTCGGACAGCATCACACAAGCTGTTGCATGAGTGGCAATTGTTTGCCAGCGAATTCGGACAGCAGCATACGAACTGTAGCATCAACGGCATCGTTTGCCATTGTTTGCCAGCGAATTCGGACAGCAGCACACGAGCTGTAGCATCAACGGCATCGTTTGCCATTGTTTGCCAGCGAATTCGGACAGCAGCACACGAGCTGTAGCATCAACGGCATCGTTTGCCAGCGGATTCGGACAGCAGCACACAAGCTGTTGCATCAGTGGCAATTGTTTGCCAGCGAATTCGGACAGCAGCATACGAACTGTAGCATCAACGGCATCGTTTGCCATTGTTTGCCAGCGAATTCGGACAGCAGCACACGAGCTGTAGCATCAACGGCATCGTTTGCCATTGTTTGCCAGCGAATTCGGACAGCAGCACACGAACTGTAGCATCAACGGCATCGTTTGCCATTGTTTGCCAGCGAATTCGGACAGCAGCACACGAGCTGTAGCATCAACGGCATCGTTTGCCAGCGAATTCGGACAGCAGCACACAAGCTGTTGCATCAGTGGCAATTGTTTGCCAGCGAATTCGGACAGCAGCACACGAACTGTAGCATCAACGGCATCGTTTGCCATTGTTTGCCAGCGAATTCGGACAGCAGCACACGAGCTGTAGCATCAGTGGCAATTGTTTGCCAGCGAATTCGGGCAGCCACTCACGAACTGTAGCATCAACGGCATCGTTTGCCATTGTTTGCCAGCGAATTCGGACAGCCACACACGAGCTGTTGCATCAGTGGCAATTGTTTGCCAGCGAATTCGGGCAGCCACTCACGAACTGTAGCATCAACGGCATCGTTTGCCATTGTTTGCCAGCGAATTCGGACAGCCACACACGAGCTGTTGCATCAGTGGCAATTGTTTGCCAGCGAATTCGGACAGCAGCATACGAACTGTAGCATCAACGGCATCGTTTGCCATTGTTTGCCAGCGAATTCGGACAGCCACTCACGAACTGTAGCATCAACGGCATCGTTTGCCATTGTTTGCCAGCGAATTCGGACAGCAGCACACGAGCTGTAGCATCAACGGCATCGTTTGCCATTGTTTGCCAGCGAATTCGGACAGCAGCACACGAGCTGTAGCATCAACGGCATCGTTTGCCATTGTTTGCCAGCGAATTCGGACAGCCACACACGAGCTGTTGCATCAACGGCAATTGTTTGCCAGCGAATTCGGACAGCAGCACACGAACTGTAGCATCAACGGCATCGTTTACCATTGTTTGCCAGCGAATTCGGACAGCAGCATACGAACTGTAGCATCAACGGCATCGTTTGCCATTGTTTGCCAGCGAATCGGACAGCAGCACACGAGCTGTAGCATCAACGGCATCGTTTGCCAGCGAATTCGGACAGCATCACACAAGCTGTTGCATCACTGGCAATTGTTTGCCAGCGAATTCGGACAGCAGCATACGAACTGTAGCATCAACGGCATCGTTTGCCATTGTTTGCCAGCGAATTCGGACAGCAGCACACGAACTGTAGCATCAACGGCATCGTTTGCCATTGTTTGCCAGCGAATTCGGACAGCAGCACACGAGCTGTAGCATCAACGGCATCGTTTGCCAGCGAATTCGGACAGCAGCACACAAGCTGTTGCATCAGTGGCAATTGTTTGCCAGCGAATTCGGACAGCAGCATACGAACTGTAGCATCAACGGCATCGTTTGCCATTGTTTGCCAGCGAATTCGGACAGCAGCACACGAGCTGTAGCATCAACGGCGTTTGCCATTGTTTGCCAGCGAATTCGGACAGCAGCACACGAACTGTAGCATCAACGGCATCGTTTGCCATTGTTTGCCAGCGAATTCGGGCAGCCACTCACGAACTGTAGCATCGACGGCATCGTTTGCCATTGTTTGCCAGCGAATTCGGACAGCCACACACGAGCTGTTGCATCAGTGGCAATTGTTTGCCAGCGAATTCGGACAGCAGCATACGAACTGTAGCATCAACGGCATCGTTTGCCATTGTTTGCCAGCGAATTCGGACAGCCACTCACGAACTGTAGCATCAACGGCATCGTTTGCCATTGTTTGCCAGCGAATTCGGACAGCAGCACACGAGCTGTAGCATCAACGGCATCTTTTGCCATTGTTTGCCAGCGAATTCGGACAGCAGCACACGAGCTGTAGCATCAACGGCATCGTTTGCCATTGTTTGCCAGCGAATTCGGACAGCCACACACGAGCTGTTGCATCAACGGCAATTGTTTGCCAGCGAATTCGGACAGCAGCACACGAACTGTAGCATCAACGGCATCGTTTACCATTGTTTGCCAGCGAATTCGGACAGCAGCATACGAACTGTAGCATCAACGGCATCGTTTGCCATTGTTTGCCAGCGAATCGGACAGCAGCACACGAGCTGTAGCATCAACGGCATCGTTTGCCAGCGAATTCGGACAGCATCACACAAGCTGTTGCATCAGTGGCAATTGTTTGCCAGCGAATTCGGACAGCAGCACACGAACTGTAGCATCAACGGCATCGTTTGCCATTGTTTGCCAGCGAATTCGGACAGCAGCACACGAGCTGTAGCATCAACGGCATCGTTTGCCAGCGAATTCGGACAGCAGCACACAAGCTGTTGCATCAGTGGCAATTGTTTGCCAGCGAATTCGGACAGCAGCATACGAACTGTAGCATCAACGGCATCGTTTGCCATTGTTTGCCAGCGAATTCGGACAGCAGCACACGAGCTGTAGCATCAACGGCATCGTTTGCCAGCGAATTCGGACAGCAGCACACAAGCTGTTGCATCAGTGGCAATTGTTTGCCAGCGAATTCGGACAGCAGCATACGAACTGTAGCATCAACGGCATCGTTTGCCATTGTTTGCCAGCGAATTCGGACAGCAGCACACGAGCTGTAGCATCAACGGCATCGTTTGCCATTGTTTGCCAGCGAATTCGGACAGCAGCACACGAGCTGTAGCATCAACGGCGTTTGCCATTGTTTGCCAGCGAATTCGGACAGCAGCACACGAACTGTAGCATCAACGGCATCGTTTGCCATTGTTTGCCAGCGAATTCGGACAGCAGCACACGAACTGTAGCATCAACGGCATCGTTTGCCATTGTTTGCCAGCGAATTCGGACAGCAGCACACGAGCTGTAGCATCAACGGCATCGTTTGCCAGCGAATTCGGACAGCAGCACACAAGCTGTTGCATCAGTGGCAATTGTTTGCCAGCGAATTCGGACAGCAGCATACGAACTGTAGCATCAACGGCATCGTTTGCCATTGTTTGCCAGCGAATTCGGACAGCAGCACACGAGCTGTAGCATCAACGGCATCGTTTGCCATTGTTTGCCAGCGAATTCGGACAGCAGCACACGAACTGTAGCATCAACGGCATCGTTTGCCATTGTTTGCCAGCGAATTCGGACAGCAGCACACGAGCTGTAGCATCAACGGCGTTTGCCATTGTTTGCCAGCGAATTCGGACAGCAGCACACGAGCTGTAGCATCAACGGCATCGTTTGCCATTGTTTGCCAGCGAATTCGGACAGCAGCACACGAACTGTAGCATCAACGGCATCGTTTGCCATTGTTTGCCAGCGAATTCGGACAGCCACTCACGAGCTGTTGCATCAGTGGCAATTGTTTGCCATTGTTTGCCAGCGAATTCGGACAGCAGCATACGAACTGTGGCATCAACGGCATCGTTTGCCATTGTTTGCCAGCGAATTCGGACAGCCTCACACGAGCTGTATCATCAACGGCATCGTTTGCCATTGTTTGCCAGCGAATTCGGACAGCCACACACGAGCTGTTGCATCAGTGGCAATTGTTTGCCAGCGAATTCGGACAGCAGCATACGAACTGTAGCATCAACGGCATCGTTTGCCATTGTTTGCCAGCGAATTCGGACAGCAGCACACGAGCTGTAGCATCAACGGCATCGTGCCATTGTTTGCCAGCGAATTCGGACAGCAGCACACGAGCTGTAGCATCAACGGCATCGTTTGCCATTGTTTGCCAGCGAATTCGGACAGCAGCACACGAGCTGTTGCATCAGTGGCAATTGTTTGCCAGCTAATTCGGACAGCAGCATACGAAATGTAGCATCAACGGCATCGTTTGCCATTGTTTGCCAGCGAATTCGGACAGCAGCACACGAGCTGTAGCATCAACGGCATCGTTTGCCATTGTTTGCCAGCGAATTCGGACAGCAGCACACGAACTGTAGCATCAACGGCATCGTTTGCCATTGTTTGCCAGCGAATTCGGACAGCCACTCACGAGCTGTTGCATCAGTGGCAATTGTTTGCCATTGTTTGCCAGCGAATTCGGACAGCAGCATACGAACTGTGGCATCAACGGCATCGTTTGCCATTGTTTGCCAGCGAATTCGGACAGCCTCACACGAGCTGTATCATCAACGGCATCGTTTGCCATTGTTTGCCAGCGAATTCGGACAGCCACACACGAGCTGTTGCATCAGTGGCAATTGTTTGCCAGCGAATTCGGACAGCAGCATACGAACTGTAGCATCAACGGCATCGTTTGCCATTGTTTGCCAGCGAATTCGGACAGCAGCACACGAGCTGTAGCATCAACGGCATCGTGCCATTGTTTGCCAGCGAATTCGGACAGCAGCACACGAGCTGTAGCATCAACGGCATCGTTTGCCATTGTTTGCCAGCGAATTCGGACAGCAGCACACGAGCTGTTGCATCAGTGGCAATTGTTTGCCAGCTAATTCGGACAGCAGCATACGAAATGTAGCATCAACGGCATCGTTTGCCATTGTTTGCCAGCGAATTCGGACAGCAGCACACGAGCTGTAGCATCAACGGCATCGTTTGCCATTGTTTGCCAGCGAATTCGGACAGCAGCACACGAGCTGTAGCATCAACGGCATCGTTTGCCATTGTTTGCCAGCGAATTCGGACAGCAGCACACGAGCTGTAGCATCAACGGCATCGTTTGCCATTGTTTGCCAGCGAATTCGGACAGCAGCACACGAGCTGTAGCATCAACGGCATCGTTTGCCATTGTTTGCCAGCGAATTCGGACAGCCACACACGAGCTGTTGCATCAGTGGCAATTGTTTGCCATTGTTTGCCAGCGAATTCGGACAGCAGCATACGAACTGTGGCATCAACGGCATCGTTTGCCATTGTTTGCCAGCGAATTCGGACAGCCTCACACGAGCTGTATCATCAACGGCATCGTTTGCCATTGTTTGCCAGCGAATTCGGACAGCCACACACGAGCTGTTGCATCAGTGGCAATTGTTTGCCAGCGAATTCGGACAGCAGCATACGAACTGTAGCATCAACGGCATCGTTTGCCATTGTTTGCCAGCGAATTCGGACAGCAGCACACGAGCTGTAGCATCAACGGCATCGTGCCATTGTTTGCCAGCGAATTCGGACAGCAGCACACGAGCTGTAGCATCAACGGCATCGTTTGCCATTGTTTGCCAGCGAATTCGGACAGCAGCACACGAGCTGTTGCATCAGTGGCAATTGTTTGCCAGCTAGTTCGGACAGCAGCATACGAAATGTAGCATCAACGGCATCGTTTGCCATTGTTTGCCAGCGAATTCGGACAGCAGCACACGAGCTGTAGCATCAACGGCATCGTGCCATTGTTTGCCAGCGAATTCGGGCAGCCACTCACGAACTGTAGCATCAACGGCATCGTTTGCCATTGTTTGCCAGCGAATTCGGACAGCCACACACGAGCTGTTGCATCAGTGGCAATTGTTTGCCAGCGAATTCGGACAGCAGCATACGAACTGTAGCATCAACGGCATCGTTTGCCATTGTTTGCCAGCGAATTCGGACAGCCACTCACGAACTGTAGCATCAACGGCATCGTTTGCCATTGTTTGCCAGCGAATTCGGACAGCAGCACACGAGCTGTAGCATCAACGGCATCTTTTGCCATTGTTTGCCAGCGAATTCGGACAGCAGCACACGAGCTGTAGCATCAACGGCATCGTTTGCCATTGTTTGCCAGCGAATTCGGACAGCCACACACGAGCTGTTGCATCAACGGCAATTGTTTGCCAGCGAATTCGGACAGCAGCACACGAACTGTAGCATCAACGGCATCGTTTACCATTGTTTGCCAGCGAATTCGGACAGCAGCATACGAACTGTAGCATCAACGGCATCGTTTGCCATTGTTTGCCAGCGAATCGGACAGCAGCACACGAGCTGTAGCATCAACGGCATCGTTTGCCAGCGAATTCGGACAGCATCACACAAGCTGTTGCATCAGTGGCAATTGTTTGCCAGCGAATTCGGACAGCAGCATACGAACTGTAGCATCAACGGCATCGTTTGCCATTGTTTGCCAGCGAATTCGGACAGCAGCACACGAGCTGTAGCATCAACGGCATCGTTTGCCATTGTTTGCCAGCGAATTCGGACAGCAGCACACGAGCTGTAGCATCAACGGCATCGTTTGCCAGCGAATTCGGACAGCAGCACACAAGCTGTTGCATCAGTGGCAATTGTTTGCCAGCGAATTCGGACAGCAGCATACGAACTGTAGCATCAACGGCATCGTTTGCCATTGTTTGCCAGCGAATTCGGACAGCAGCACACGAACTGTAGCACCAACGGCATCGTTTGCCATTGTTTGCCAGCGAATTCGGACAGCAGCACACGAGCTGTAGCATCAAAGGCATCGTTCGCCATTGTTTGCCAGCGAATTCGGACAGCCACACACGAGCTGTTGCATCAGTGGCAATTATTTGCCAGCGAATTCGGACAGCAGCATAAGAACTGTAGCATCAACGGTATCGTTTGCCATTGTTTGCCAGCGAATTCGGACAGCAGCACACGAACTGTAGCATCAACGGCATCGTTTGCATTGTTTGCCAGCGAATTCGGACAGCAGCACACGAGCTGTAGCCGAAGGAGTGTCAAGGCACACGAAGGAGTGTCAAGGCTCACGAAGGAGTGTCAAGGCCTACGAAGGAGTGTCAAGGCTCACGAAGGAGTGTCAAGGCCTACGAAGGAGTGTCAAGGCTCACGAAGGAGTGTCAAGGCTCACGAAGGAGTGTCAAGGCCTACGAAGGAGTGTCAAGGCACACGAAGGAGTGTCAAGGCTCACGGACACTCCTTCGTGAGCCTTGACACTCCTTCGTGAGCCTTGACACTCCTTCGTATGCCTTGACACTCCTTCGTGAGCCTTGACACTCCTCTGTGAGCCTTGACACTCCTTCGTGAGCCTTGACACTCCTTCGTAGGCCTTGACACTCCTTCGTGAGCCTTGACACTCCTTTGTGAGCCTTGACACTCCTTCGTGAGCCTTGACACTCCTTCGTAGGCCTTGACACTCCTTCGTAGGCCTTGACACTCCTTCGTGAGCCTTGACACTCCTTCGTGAGCCTTGACACTCCTTCGTAGGCCTTGACACTCCTTCGTGAGCCTTGACACTCCTTCGTGAGCCTTGACACTCCTTCGTAGGCCTTGACACTCCTTCGTGAGCCTTGACACTCCTTCGTAGGCCTTGACACTCCTTTGTGAGCCTTGACACTCCTTCGTGAGCCTTGACACTCCTTCGTAGGTCTTGACACTCCATCGTGAGCCTTAACACTCCTTCGTGAGCCTTGACACTCCTTCGTAGGCCTTGACACTCCTTCGTAGGCCTTGACACTCCTTCGTGAGCCTTAACACTCCTTCGTAGGCCTTGACACTCCTCGTGAGCCTTGGCACTCCTTCGTAGGCCTTGACACTCCTTCGTGAGCCTTGACACTCCTTCGTAGGCCTTGACACTCCTTCGTGAGCCTTGACACTCCTTCGTGAGCCTTGACACTCCTTCGTAGGCCTTGGCACTCCTTCGTGAGCCTTGACACTCCTTCGTAGGCCTTGGCACTCCTTCGTGAGCCTTGACACTCCTTCGTGAGCCTTGACACTCCTTCGTGAGCCTTGACACTCCTTCGTGAGCCTTGACACTCCTTCGTGAGCCTTGACACTCCTTCGTAGGCCTTGACACTCCTTCGTGAGCCTTGACACTCCTTCGTAGGCCTTGACACTCCTTCGTGAGCCTTGACACTCCTTCGTAGGCCTTGACACTCCTCGTGAGCCTTGGCACTCCTTCGTAGGCCTTGACACTCCTTCGTGAGCCTTGACACTCCTTCGTAGGCCTTGACACTCCTTCGTGAGCCTTGACACTCCTTCGTGAGCCTTGACACTCCTTCGTAGGCCTTGACACTCCCTCGTGAGCCTTGACACTCCTTCGTAGGCCTTGACACTCCTTTGTGAGCCTTGACACTCCTTCGTGAGCCTTGACACTCCTTCGTAGGCCTTGACACTCCTTCGTGAGCCTTGACACTCCTTCGTAGGCCTTGACACTCCTTCGTGAGCCTTGACACTCCTTCGTAGGCCTTGACACTCCTTCGTAGGCCTTGACACTCCTTCGTGAGCCTTGACACTCCTTCGTAGGCCTTGACACTCCTTCGTGAGCCTTGACACTCCTTCGTGAACCTTGACACTCCTTCGTAGGCCTTGACACTCCTTCGTGAGCCTTGACACTCCTTCGTAGGCCTTGACACTCCTTCGTGAGCCTTGACACTCCTTCGTAGGCCTTGACACTCCTTCGTGAGCCTTGACACTCCTTCGTAGGCCTTGACACTCCTTCGTGAGCCTTGACACTCCTTCGTGAGCCTTGACACTCCTTCGTGAGCCTTGACACTCCTTCGTAGGCCTTGACACTCCTTCGTGAGCCTTGACACTCCTTCGTGAGCCTTGACACTCCTTCGTGAGCCTTGACACTCCTTCGTGAGCCTTGACACTCCTGCGTAGGCCTTGACGCTCCTTTGTGAGCCTTGACACTCCTTCGTGAGCCTTGACACTCCTTCGTGAGCCTTGACACTCCTTCTTGAGCCTTGACACTCCTTCGTAGGCCTTGACACTCCTTCGTGAGCCTTGACACTCCTTCGTAGGCCTTGACACTCCTTTGTGAGCCTTGACACTCCTTCGTGAGCCTTGACACTCCTTCGTAGGCCTTGACACTCCTTCGTAGGCCTTGACACTCCTTCGTGAGCCTTAACACTCCTTCGTAGGCCTTGACACTCCTCGTGAGCCTTGACACTCCTTCGTGAGCCTTGACACTCCTTCGTAGGCCTTGACACTCCTTCGTGAGCCTTGACACTCCTTCGTAGGCCTTGACACTCTTTCGTGAGCATTGACACTCCTTCGGGAGCCTTGACACTCCTTCGTGAGCCTTGACACTCCTTCGTAGGCCTTGACACTCCTTCGTGAGCCTTGACACTCCTTCGTAGGCCTTGACACTCCTTCGTGAGCCTTGACACTCCTTCGTAGGCCTTGACTCTCCTTCGTAGGCCTTGACACTCCTTCGTGAGCCTTGACACTCCTTCGTGAGCCTTGACACTCCTTCGTAGGCCTTGACACTCCTTCGTGAGCCTTGACACTCCTTCGTAGGCCTTGACACTCCTTCGTGAGCCTTGACACTCCTTCGTAGGCCTTGACACTCCTCGTGAGCCTTGGCACTCCTTCGTAGGCCTTGACACTCCTTCGTGAGCCTTGACACTCCTTCGTAGGCCTTGACACTCCTTCGTGAGCCTTGACACTCCTTCGTGAGCCTTGACACTCCTTCGTAGGCCTTGACACTCCTTCGTGAGCCTTGACACTCCTTCGTAGGCCTTGACACTCCTTTGTGAGCCTTGACACTCCTTCGTGAGCCTTGACACTCCTTCGTAGGCCTTGACACTCCTTCGTGAGCCTTGACACTCCTTCGTAGGCCTTGACACTCCTTCGTGAGCCTTGACACTCCTTCGTAGGCCTTGACACTCCTTCGTAGGCCTTGACACTCCTTCGTGAGCCTTGACACTCCTTCGTAGGCCTTGACACTCCTTCGTGAGCCTTGACACTCCTTCGTGAGCCTTGACACTCCTTCGTAGGCCTTGACACTCCTTCGTGAGCCTTGACACTCCTTCGTAGGCCTTGACACTCCTTCGTGAGCCTTGACACTCCTTCGTAGGCCTTGACACTCCTTCGTGAGCCTTGACACTCCTTCGTAGGCCTTGACACTCCTTCGTGAGCCTTGACACTCCTTCGTGAGCCTTGACACTCCTTCGTGAGCCTTGACACTCCTTCGTAGGCCTTGACACTCCTTCGTGAGCCTTGACACTCCTTCGTGAGCCTTGACACTCCTTCGTGAGCCTTGACACTCCTTCGTGAGCCTTGACACTCCTGCGTAGGCCTTGACGCTCCTTTGTGAGCCTTGACACTCCTTCGTGAGCCTTGACACTCCTTCGTGAGCCTTGACACTCCTTCTTGAGCCTTGACACTCCTTCGTAGGCCTTGACACTCCTTCGTGAGCCTTGACACTCCTTCGTAGGCCTTGACACTCCTTTGTGAGCCTTGACACTCCTTCGTGAGCCTTGACACTCCTTCGTAGGCCTTGACACTCCTTCGTAGGCCTTGACACTCCTTCGTGAGCCTTAACACTCCTTCGTAGGCCTTGACACTCCTCGTGAGCCTTGACACTCCTTCGTGAGCCTTGACACTCCTTCGTAGGCCTTGACACTCCTTCGTGAGCCTTGACACTCCTTCGTGAGCCTTGACACTCCTTCGTGAGCCTTGACACTCCTTCGTAGGCCTTGACACTCCTTCGTGAGCCTTGACACTCCTTCGTGAGCCTTAACACTCCTTCGTGAGCCTTGACACTCCTTCGTGAGCCTTGACACTCCTGCGTAGGCCTTGACGCTCCTTCGTGAGCCTTGACACTCCTTCGTGAGCCTTGACACTCCTTCGTGAGCCTTGACACTCCTTCGTAGGCCTTGACACTCCTTCGTGAGCCTTGACACTCCTTCGTGAGCCTTGACACTCCTTCGTAGGCCTTGACACTCCTTCGTGAGCCTTGACACTCCTTCGTAGGTCTTGACACTCCATCGTGAGCCTTGACACTCCTTCGTAGGCCTTGACACTCCTTCGTGAGCCTTGACACTCCTTCGTAGGCCTTGACACTCCTTCGTGAGCCTTGACACTCCTTCGTAGGCCTTGACACTCCTTCGTAGGCCTTGACACTCCTTCGTGAGCCTTGACACTCCTTCGTAGGCCTTGACACTCCTTCGTGAGCCTTGACACTCCTTCGTGAGCCTTGACACTCCTTCGTAGGCCTTGACACTCCTTCGTGAGCCTTGACACTCCTTCGTAGGCCTTGACACTCCTTCGTGAGCCTTGACACTCCTTCGTAGGCCTTGACACTCCTTCGTGAGCCTTGACACTCCTTCGTAGGCCTTGACACTCCTTCGTGAGCCTTGACACTCCTTCGTGAGCCTTGACACTCCTTCGTGAGCCTTGACACTCCTTCGTAGGCCTTGACACTCCTTCGTGAGCCTTGACACTCCTTCGTGAGCCTTGACACTCCTTCGTGAGCCTTGACACTCCTTCGTGAGCCTTGACACTCCTGCGTAGGCCTTGACGCTCCTTTGTGAGCCTTGACACTCCTTCGTGAGCCTTGACACTCCTTCGTGAGCCTTGACACTCCTTCTTGAGCCTTGACACTCCTTCGTAGGCCTTGACACTCCTTCGTGAGCCTTGACACTCCTTCGTAGGCCTTGACACTCCTTTGTGAGCCTTGACACTCCTTCGTGAGCCTTGACACTCCTTCGTAGGCCTTGACACTCCTTCGTAGGCCTTGACACTCCTTCGTGAGCCTTAACACTCCTTCGTAGGCCTTGACACTCCTCGTGAGCCTTGACACTCCTTCGTGAGCCTTGACACTCCTTCGTAGGCCTTGACACTCCTTCGTGAGCCTTGACACTCCTTCGTAGGCCTTGACACTCTTTCGTGAGCATTGACACTCCTTCGGGAGCCTTGACACTCCTTCGTGAGCCTTGACACTCCTTCGTAGGCCTTGACACTCCTTCGTGAGCCTTGACACTCCTTCGTAGGCCTTGACACTCCTTCGTGAGCCTTGACACTCCTTCGTAGGCCTTGACTCTCCTTCGTAGGCCTTGACACTCCTTCGTGAGCCTTGACACTCCTTCGTGAGCCTTGACACTCCTTCGTAGGCCTTGACACTCCTTCGTGAGCCTTGACACTCCTTCGTAGGCCTTGACACTCCTTCGTGAGCCTTGACACTCCTTCGTAGGCCTTGACACTCCTCGTGAGCCTTGGCACTCCTTCGTAGGCCTTGACACTCCTTCGTGAGCCTTGACACTCCTTCGTAGGCCTTGACACTCCTTCGTGAGCCTTGACACTCCTTCGTGAGCCTTGACACTCCTTCGTAGGCCTTGACACTCCTTCGTGAGCCTTGACACTCCTTCGTAGGCCTTGACACTCCTTTGTGAGCCTTGACACTCCTTCGTGAGCCTTGACACTCCTTCGTAGGCCTTGACACTCCTTCGTGAGCCTTGACACTCCTTCGTAGGCCTTGACACTCCTTCGTGAGCCTTGACACTCCTTCGTAGGCCTTGACACTCCTTCGTAGGCCTTGACACTCCTTCGTGAGCCTTGACACTCCTTCGTAGGCCTTGACACTCCTTCGTGAGCCTTGACACTCCTTCGTGAGCCTTGACACTCCTTCGTAGGCCTTGACACTCCTTCGTGAGCCTTGACACTCCTTCGTAGGCCTTGACACTCCTTCGTGAGCCTTGACACTCCTTCGTAGGCCTTGACACTCCTTCGTGAGCCTTGACACTCCTTCGTAGGCCTTGACACTCCTTCGTGAGCCTTGACACTCCTTCGTGAGCCTTGACACTCCTTCGTGAGCCTTGACACTCCTTCGTAGGCCTTGACACTCCTTCGTGAGCCTTGACACTCCTTCGTGAGCCTTGACACTCCTTCGTGAGCCTTGACACTCCTTCGTGAGCCTTGACACTCCTGCGTAGGCCTTGACGCTCCTTTGTGAGCCTTGACACTCCTTCGTGAGCCTTGACACTCCTTCGTGAGCCTTGACACTCCTTCTTGAGCCTTGACACTCCTTCGTAGGCCTTGACACTCCTTCGTGAGCCTTGACACTCCTTCGTAGGCCTTGACACTCCTTTGTGAGCCTTGACACTCCTTCGTGAGCCTTGACACTCCTTCGTAGGCCTTGACACTCCTTCGTAGGCCTTGACACTCCTTCGTGAGCCTTAACACTCCTTCGTAGGCCTTGACACTCCTCGTGAGCCTTGACACTCCTTCGTGAGCCTTGACACTCCTTCGTAGGCCTTGACACTCCTTCGTGAGCCTTGACACTCCTTCGTGAGCCTTGACACTCCTTCGTGAGCCTTGACACTCCTTCGTAGGCCTTGACACTCCTTCGTGAGCCTTGACACTCCTTCGTGAGCCTTGACACTCCTTCGTGAGCCTTGACACTCCTTCGTGAGCCTTGACACTCCTGCGTAGGCCTTGACGCTCCTTCGTGAGCCTTGACACTCCTTCGTGAGCCTTGACACTCCTTCGTGAGCCTTGACACTCCTTCGTAGGCCTTGACACTCCTTCGTGAGCCTTGACACTCCTTCGTGAGCCTTGACACTCCTTCGTAGGCCTTGACACTCCTTCGTGAGCCTTGACACTCCTTCGTAGGTCTTGACACTCCATCGTGAGCCTTGACACTCCTTCGTAGGCCTTGACACTCCTTCGTGAGCCTTGACACTCCTTCGTAGGCCTTGACACTCCTTCGTGAGCCTTGACACTCCTTCGTAGGCCTTGACACTCCTTCGTAGGCCTTGACACTCCTTCGTGAGCCTTGACACTCCTTCGTAGGCCTTGACACTCCTTCGTGAGCCTTGACACTCCTTCGTGAGCCTTGACACTCCTTCGTAGGCCTTGACACTCCTTCGTGAGCCTTGACACTCCTTCGTAGGCCTTGACACTCCTTCGTGAGCCTTGACACTCCTTCGTAGGCCTTGACACTCCTTCGTGAGCCTTGACACTCCTTCGTAGGCCTTGACACTCCTTCGTGAGCCTTGACACTCCTTCGTGAGCCTTGACACTCCTTCGTGAGCCTTGACACTCCTTCGTAGGCCTTGACACTCCTTCGTGAGCCTTGACACTCCTTCGTGAGCCTTGACACTCCTTCGTGAGCCTTGACACTCCTTCGTGAGCCTTGACACTCCTGCGTAGGCCTTGACGCTCCTTTGTGAGCCTTGACACTCCTTCGTGAGCCTTGACACTCCTTCGTGAGCCTTGACACTCCTTCTTGAGCCTTGACACTCCTTCGTAGGCCTTGACACTCCTTCGTGAGCCTTGACACTCCTTCGTAGGCCTTGACACTCCTTTGTGAGCCTTGACACTCCTTCGTGAGCCTTGACACTCCTTCGTGAGCCTTAACACTCCTTCGTGAGCCTTGACACTCCTTCGTGAGCCTTGACACTCCTGCGTAGGCCTTGACGCTCCTTCGTGAGCCTTGACACTCCTTCGTGAGCCTTGACACTCCTTCGTGAGCCTTGACACTCCTTCGTAGGCCTTGACACTCCTTCGTGAGCCTTGACACTCCTTCGTGAGCCTTGACACTCCTTCGTAGGCCTTGACACTCCTTCGTGAGCCTTGACACTCCTTCGTAGGTCTTGACACTCCATCGTGAGCCTTGACACTCCTTCGTAGGCCTTGACACTCCTTCGTGAGCCTTGACACTCCTTCGTAGGCCTTGACACTCCTTCGTGAGCCTTGACACTCCTTCGTAGGCCTTGACACTCCTTCGTAGGCCTTGACACTCCTTCGTGAGCCTTGACACTCCTTCGTAGGCCTTGACACTCCTTCGTGAGCCTTGACACTCCTTCGTGAGCCTTGACACTCCTTCGTAGGCCTTGACACTCCTTCGTGAGCCTTGACACTCCTTCGTAGGCCTTGACACTCCTTCGTGAGCCTTGACACTCCTTCGTAGGCCTTGACACTCCTTCGTGAGCCTTGACACTCCTTCGTAGGCCTTGACACTCCTTCGTGAGCCTTGACACTCCTTCGTGAGCCTTGACACTCCTTCGTAGGCCTTGACACTCCTTCGTAGGCCTTGACACTCCTTCGTGAGCCTTAACACTCCTTCGTAGGCCTTGACACTCCTCGTGAGCCTTGACACTCCTTCGTGAGCCTTGACACTCCTTCGTAGGCCTTGACACTCCTTCGTGAGCCTTGACACTCCTTCGTGAGCCTTGACACTCCTTCGTGAGCCTTGACACTCCTTCGTAGGCCTTGACACTCCTTCGTGAGCCTTGACACTCCTTCGTGAGCCTTGACACTCCTTCGTGAGCCTTGACACTCCTTCGTGAGCCTTGACACTCCTGCGTAGGCCTTGACGCTCCTTCGTGAGCCTTGACACTCCTTCGTGAGCCTTGACACTCCTTCGTGAGCCTTGACACTCCTTCGTAGGCCTTGACACTCCTTCGTGAGCCTTGACACTCCTTCGTGAGCCTTGACACTCCTTCGTAGGCCTTGACACTCCTTCGTGAGCCTTGACACTCCTTCGTAGGTCTTGACACTCCATCGTGAGCCTTGACACTCCTTCGTAGGCCTTGACACTCCTTCGTGAGCCTTGACACTCCTTCGTAGGCCTTGACACTCCTTCGTGAGCCTTGACACTCCTTCGTAGGCCTTGACACTCCTTCGTAGGCCTTGACACTCCTTCGTGAGCCTTGACACTCCTTCGTAGGCCTTGACACTCCTTCGTGAGCCTTGACACTCCTTCGTGAGCCTTGACACTCCTTCGTAGGCCTTGACACTCCTTCGTGAGCCTTGACACTCCTTCGTAGGCCTTGACACTCCTTCGTGAGCCTTGACACTCCTTCGTAGGCCTTGACACTCCTTCGTGAGCCTTGACACTCCTTCGTAGGCCTTGACACTCCTTCGTGAGCCTTGACACTCCTTCGTGAGCCTTGACACTCCTTCGTGAGCCTTGACACTCCTTCGTAGGCCTTGACACTCCTTCGTGAGCCTTGACACTCCTTCGTGAGCCTTGACACTCCTTCGTGAGCCTTGACACTCCTTCGTGAGCCTTGACACTCCTGCGTAGGCCTTGACGCTCCTTTGTGAGCCTTGACACTCCTTCGTGAGCCTTGACACTCCTTCGTGAGCCTTGACACTCCTTCTTGAGCCTTGACACTCCTTCGTAGGCCTTGACACTCCTTCGTGAGCCTTGACACTCCTTCGTAGGCCTTGACACTCCTTTGTGAGCCTTGACACTCCTTCGTGAGCCTTGACACTCCTTCGTGAGCCTTAACACTCCTTCGTGAGCCTTGACACTCCTTCGTGAGCCTTGACACTCCTGCGTAGGCCTTGACGCTCCTTCGTGAGCCTTGACACTCCTTCGTGAGCCTTGACACTCCTTCGTGAGCCTTGACACTCCTTCGTAGGCCTTGACACTCCTTCGTGAGCCTTGACACTCCTTCGTGAGCCTTGACACTCCTTCGTAGGCCTTGACACTCCTTCGTGAGCCTTGACACTCCTTCGTAGGTCTTGACACTCCATCGTGAGCCTTGACACTCCTTCGTAGGCCTTGACACTCCTTCGTGAGCCTTGACACTCCTTCGTAGGCCTTGACACTCCTTCGTGAGCCTTGACACTCCTTCGTAGGCCTTGACACTCCTTCGTAGGCCTTGACACTCCTTCGTGAGCCTTGACACTCCTTCGTAGGCCTTGACACTCCTTCGTGAGCCTTGACACTCCTTCGTGAGCCTTGACACTCCTTCGTAGGCCTTGACACTCCTTCGTGAGCCTTGACACTCCTTCGTAGGCCTTGACACTCCTTCGTGAGCCTTGACACTCCTTCGTAGGCCTTGACACTCCTTCGTGAGCCTTGACACTCCTTCGTAGGCCTTGACACTCCTTCGTGAGCCTTGACACTCCTTCGTGAGCCTTGACACTCCTTCGTGAGCCTTGACACTCCTTCGTAGGCCTTGACACTCCTTCGTGAGCCTTGACACTCCTTCGTGAGCCTTGACACTCCTTCGTGAGCCTTGACACTCCTTCGTGAGCCTTGACACTCCTGCGTAGGCCTTGACGCTCCTTTGTGAGCCTTGACACTCCTTCGTGAGCCTTGACACTCCTTCGTGAGCCTTGACACTCCTTCTTGAGCCTTGACACTCCTTCGTAGGCCTTGACACTCCTTCGTGAGCCTTGACACTCCTTCGTAGGCCTTGACACTCCTTTGTGAGCCTTGACACTCCTTCGTGAGCCTTGACACTCCTTCGTAGGCCTTGACACTCCTTCGTAGGCCTTGACACTCCTTCGTGAGCCTTAACACTCCTTCGTAGGCCTTGACACTCCTCGTGAGCCTTGACACTCCTTCGTGAGCCTTGACACTCCTTCGTGAGCCTTGACACTCCTTCGTGAGCCTTGACACTCCTGCGTAGGCCTTGACACTCCTTCGTAGGCCTTGACACTCCTTCGTGAGCCTTAACACTCCTTCGTAGGCCTTGACACTCCTCGTGAGCCTTGACACTCCTTCTTGAGCCTTGACACTCCTTCGTAGGCCTTGACACTCCTTCGTGAGCCTTGACACTCCTTCGTAGGCCTTGACACTCCTTTGTGAGCCTTGACACTCCTTCGTGAGCCTTGACACTCCTTCGTAGGCCTTGACACTCCTTCGTAGGCCTTGACACTCCTTCGTGAGCCTTGACACTCCTTCGTGAGCCTTGACACTCCTGCGTAGGCCTTGACGCTCCTTCGTGAGCCTTGACACTCCTTCGTGAGCCTTGACACTCCTTCGTGAGCCTTGACACTCCTTCGTAGGCCTTGACACTCCTTCGTGAGCCTTGACACTCCTTCGTGAGCCTTGACACTCCTTCGTAGGCCTTGACACTCCTTCGTGAGCCTTGACACTCCTTCGTAGGTCTTGACACTCCATCGTGAGCCTTGACACTCCTTCGTAGGCCTTGACACTCCTTCGTGAGCCTTGACACTCCTTCGTAGGCCTTGACACTCCTTCGTGAGCCTTGACACTCCTTCGTAGGCCTTGACACTCCTTCGTAGGCCTTGACACTCCTTCGTGAGCCTTGACACTCCTTCGTAGGCCTTGACACTCCTTCGTGAGCCTTGACACTCCTTCGTGAGCCTTGACACTCCTTCGTAGGCCTTGACACTCCTTCGTGAGCCTTGACACTCCTTCGTAGGCCTTGACACTCCTTCGTGAGCCTTGACACTCCTTCGTAGGCCTTGACACTCCTTCGTGAGCCTTGACACTCCTTCGTAGGCCTTGACACTCCTTCGTGAGCCTTGACACTCCTTCGTGAGCCTTGACACTCCTTCGTGAGCCTTGACACTCCTTCGTAGGCCTTGACACTCCTTCGTGAGCCTTGACACTCCTTCGTGAGCCTTGACACTCCTTCGTGAGCCTTGACACTCCTTCGTGAGCCTTGACACTCCTGCGTAGGCCTTGACGCTCCTTTGTGAGCCTTGACACTCCTTCGTGAGCCTTGACACTCCTTCGTGAGCCTTGACACTCCTTCTTGAGCCTTGACACTCCTTCGTAGGCCTTGACACTCCTTCGTGAGCCTTGACACTCCTTCGTAGGCCTTGACACTCCTTTGTGAGCCTTGACACTCCTTCGTGAGCCTTGACACTCCTTCGTGAGCCTTAACACTCCTTCGTGAGCCTTGACACTCCTTCGTGAGCCTTGACACTCCTGCGTAGGCCTTGACGCTCCTTCGTGAGCCTTGACACTCCTTCGTGAGCCTTGACACTCCTTCGTGAGCCTTGACACTCCTTCGTAGGCCTTGACACTCCTTCGTGAGCCTTGACACTCCTTCGTGAGCCTTGACACTCCTTCGTAGGCCTTGACACTCCTTCGTGAGCCTTGACACTCCTTCGTAGGTCTTGACACTCCATCGTGAGCCTTGACACTCCTTCGTAGGCCTTGACACTCCTTCGTGAGCCTTGACACTCCTTCGTAGGCCTTGACACTCCTTCGTGAGCCTTGACACTCCTTCGTAGGCCTTGACACTCCTTCGTAGGCCTTGACACTCCTTCGTGAGCCTTGACACTCCTTCGTAGGCCTTGACACTCCTTCGTGAGCCTTGACACTCCTTCGTGAGCCTTGACACTCCTTCGTAGGCCTTGACACTCCTTCGTGAGCCTTGACACTCCTTCGTAGGCCTTGACACTCCTTCGTGAGCCTTGACACTCCTTCGTAGGCCTTGACACTCCTTCGTGAGCCTTGACACTCCTTCGTAGGCCTTGACACTCCTTCGTGAGCCTTGACACTCCTTCGTGAGCCTTGACACTCCTTCGTAGGCCTTGACACTCCTTCGTAGGCCTTGACACTCCTTCGTGAGCCTTAACACTCCTTCGTAGGCCTTGACACTCCTCGTGAGCCTTGACACTCCTTCGTGAGCCTTGACACTCCTTCGTAGGCCTTGACACTCCTTCGTGAGCCTTGACACTCCTTCGTGAGCCTTGACACTCCTTCGTGAGCCTTGACACTCCTTCGTAGGCCTTGACACTCCTTCGTGAGCCTTGACACTCCTTCGTGAGCCTTGACACTCCTTCGTGAGCCTTGACACTCCTTCGTGAGCCTTGACACTCCTGCGTAGGCCTTGACGCTCCTTCGTGAGCCTTGACACTCCTTCGTGAGCCTTGACACTCCTTCGTGAGCCTTGACACTCCTTCGTAGGCCTTGACACTCCTTCGTGAGCCTTGACACTCCTTCGTGAGCCTTGACACTCCTTCGTAGGCCTTGACACTCCTTCGTGAGCCTTGACACTCCTTCGTAGGTCTTGACACTCCATCGTGAGCCTTGACACTCCTTCGTAGGCCTTGACACTCCTTCGTGAGCCTTGACACTCCTTCGTAGGCCTTGACACTCCTTCGTGAGCCTTGACACTCCTTCGTAGGCCTTGACACTCCTTCGTAGGCCTTGACACTCCTTCGTGAGCCTTGACACTCCTTCGTAGGCCTTGACACTCCTTCGTGAGCCTTGACACTCCTTCGTGAGCCTTGACACTCCTTCGTAGGCCTTGACACTCCTTCGTGAGCCTTGACACTCCTTCGTAGGCCTTGACACTCCTTCGTGAGCCTTGACACTCCTTCGTAGGCCTTGACACTCCTTCGTGAGCCTTGACACTCCTTCGTAGGCCTTGACACTCCTTCGTGAGCCTTGACACTCCTTCGTGAGCCTTGACACTCCTTCGTGAGCCTTGACACTCCTTCGTAGGCCTTGACACTCCTTCGTGAGCCTTGACACTCCTTCGTGAGCCTTGACACTCCTTCGTGAGCCTTGACACTCCTTCGTGAGCCTTGACACTCCTGCGTAGGCCTTGACGCTCCTTTGTGAGCCTTGACACTCCTTCGTGAGCCTTGACACTCCTTCGTGAGCCTTGACACTCCTTCTTGAGCCTTGACACTCCTTCGTAGGCCTTGACACTCCTTCGTGAGCCTTGACACTCCTTCGTAGGCCTTGACACTCCTTTGTGAGCCTTGACACTCCTTCGTGAGCCTTGACACTCCTTCGTGAGCCTTAACACTCCTTCGTGAGCCTTGACACTCCTTCGTGAGCCTTGACACTCCTGCGTAGGCCTTGACGCTCCTTCGTGAGCCTTGACACTCCTTCGTGAGCCTTGACACTCCTTCGTGAGCCTTGACACTCCTTCGTAGGCCTTGACACTCCTTCGTGAGCCTTGACACTCCTTCGTGAGCCTTGACACTCCTTCGTAGGCCTTGACACTCCTTCGTGAGCCTTGACACTCCTTCGTAGGTCTTGACACTCCATCGTGAGCCTTGACACTCCTTCGTAGGCCTTGACACTCCTTCGTGAGCCTTGACACTCCTTCGTAGGCCTTGACACTCCTTCGTGAGCCTTGACACTCCTTCGTAGGCCTTGACACTCCTTCGTAGGCCTTGACACTCCTTCGTGAGCCTTGACACTCCTTCGTAGGCCTTGACACTCCTTCGTGAGCCTTGACACTCCTTCGTGAGCCTTGACACTCCTTCGTAGGCCTTGACACTCCTTCGTGAGCCTTGACACTCCTTCGTAGGCCTTGACACTCCTTCGTGAGCCTTGACACTCCTTCGTAGGCCTTGACACTCCTTCGTGAGCCTTGACACTCCTTCGTAGGCCTTGACACTCCTTCGTGAGCCTTGACACTCCTTCGTGAGCCTTGACACTCCTTCGTGAGCCTTGACACTCCTTCGTAGGCCTTGACACTCCTTCGTGAGCCTTGACACTCCTTCGTGAGCCTTGACACTCCTTCGTGAGCCTTGACACTCCTTCGTGAGCCTTGACACTCCTGCGTAGGCCTTGACGCTCCTTTGTGAGCCTTGACACTCCTTCGTGAGCCTTGACACTCCTTCGTGAGCCTTGACACTCCTTCTTGAGCCTTGACACTCCTTCGTAGGCCTTGACACTCCTTCGTGAGCCTTGACACTCCTTCGTAGGCCTTGACACTCCTTTGTGAGCCTTGACACTCCTTCGTGAGCCTTGACACTCCTTCGTAGGCCTTGACACTCCTTCGTAGGCCTTGACACTCCTTCGTGAGCCTTAACACTCCTTCGTAGGCCTTGACACTCCTCGTGAGCCTTGACACTCCTTCGTGAGCCTTGACACTCCTTCGTGAGCCTTGACACTCCTTCGTGAGCCTTGACACTCCTGCGTAGGCCTTGACACTCCTTCGTAGGCCTTGACACTCCTTCGTGAGCCTTAACACTCCTTCGTAGGCCTTGACACTCCTCGTGAGCCTTGACACTCCTTCTTGAGCCTTGACACTCCTTCGTAGGCCTTGACACTCCTTCGTGAGCCTTGACACTCCTTCGTAGGCCTTGACACTCCTTTGTGAGCCTTGACACTCCTTCGTGAGCCTTGACACTCCTTCGTAGGCCTTGACACTCCTTCGTAGGCCTTGACACTCCTTCGTGAGCCTTAACACTCCTTCGTAGGCCTTGACACTCCTCGTGAGCCTTGACACTCCTTCGTGAGCCTTGACACTCCTTCGTAGGCCTTGACACTCCTTCGTGAGCCTTGACATTCCTTCGTAGGCCTTGACACTCTTTCGTGAGCATTGACACTCCTTCGGGAGCCTTGACACTCCTTCGTAGGCCTTGACACTCCTTCGTGAGCCTTGACACTCCTTCGTGAGCCTTGACACTCCTTCGTAGGCCTTGACACTCCTTCGTAGGCCTTGACACTCCTTCGTGAGCCTTAACACTCCTTCGTAGGCCTTGACACTCCTCGTGAGCCTTGACACTCCTTCGTGAGCCTTGACACTCCTTCGTAGGCCTTGACACTCCTTCGTGAGCCTTGACACTCCTTCGTGAGCCTTGACACTCCTTCGTGAGCCTTGACACTCCTTCGTAGGCCTTGACACTCCTTCGTGAGCCTTGACACTCCTTCGTGAGCCTTGACACTCCTTCGTGAGCCTTGACACTCCTTCGTGAGCCTTGACACTCCTGCGTAGGCCTTGACGCTCCTTCGTGAGCCTTGACACTCCTTCGTGAGCCTTGACACTCCTTCGTGAGCCTTGACACTCCTTCGTAGGCCTTGACACTCCTTCGTGAGCCTTGACACTCCTTCGTGAGCCTTGACACTCCTTCGTAGGCCTTGACACTCCTTCGTGAGCCTTGACACTCCTTCGTAGGTCTTGACACTCCATCGTGAGCCTTGACACTCCTTCGTAGGCCTTGACACTCCTTCGTGAGCCTTGACACTCCTTCGTAGGCCTTGACACTCCTTCGTGAGCCTTGACACTCCTTCGTAGGCCTTGACACTCCTTCGTAGGCCTTGACACTCCTTCGTGAGCCTTGACACTCCTTCGTAGGCCTTGACACTCCTTCGTGAGCCTTGACACTCCTTCGTGAGCCTTGACACTCCTTCGTAGGCCTTGACACTCCTTCGTGAGCCTTGACACTCCTTCGTAGGCCTTGACACTCCTTCGTGAGCCTTGACACTCCTTCGTAGGCCTTGACACTCCTTCGTGAGCCTTGACACTCCTTCGTAGGCCTTGACACTCCTTCGTGAGCCTTGACACTCCTTCGTGAGCCTTGACACTCCTTCGTGAGCCTTGACACTCCTTCGTAGGCCTTGACACTCCTTCGTGAGCCTTGACACTCCTTCGTGAGCCTTGACACTCCTTCGTGAGCCTTGACACTCCTTCGTGAGCCTTGACACTCCTGCGTAGGCCTTGACGCTCCTTTGTGAGCCTTGACACTCCTTCGTGAGCCTTGACACTCCTTCGTGAGCCTTGACACTCCTTCTTGAGCCTTGACACTCCTTCGTAGGCCTTGACACTCCTTCGTGAGCCTTGACACTCCTTCGTAGGCCTTGACACTCCTTTGTGAGCCTTGACACTCCTTCGTGAGCCTTGACACTCCTTCGTGAGCCTTAACACTCCTTCGTGAGCCTTGACACTCCTTCGTGAGCCTTGACACTCCTGCGTAGGCCTTGACGCTCCTTCGTGAGCCTTGACACTCCTTCGTGAGCCTTGACACTCCTTCGTGAGCCTTGACACTCCTTCGTAGGCCTTGACACTCCTTCGTGAGCCTTGACACTCCTTCGTGAGCCTTGACACTCCTTCGTAGGCCTTGACACTCCTTCGTGAGCCTTGACACTCCTTCGTAGGTCTTGACACTCCATCGTGAGCCTTGACACTCCTTCGTAGGCCTTGACACTCCTTCGTGAGCCTTGACACTCCTTCGTAGGCCTTGACACTCCTTCGTGAGCCTTGACACTCCTTCGTAGGCCTTGACACTCCTTCGTAGGCCTTGACACTCCTTCGTGAGCCTTGACACTCCTTCGTAGGCCTTGACACTCCTTCGTGAGCCTTGACACTCCTTCGTGAGCCTTGACACTCCTTCGTAGGCCTTGACACTCCTTCGTGAGCCTTGACACTCCTTCGTAGGCCTTGACACTCCTTCGTGAGCCTTGACACTCCTTCGTAGGCCTTGACACTCCTTCGTGAGCCTTGACACTCCTTCGTAGGCCTTGACACTCCTTCGTGAGCCTTGACACTCCTTCGTGAGCCTTGACACTCCTTCGTGAGCCTTGACACTCCTTCGTAGGCCTTGACACTCCTTCGTGAGCCTTGACACTCCTTCGTGAGCCTTGACACTCCTTCGTGAGCCTTGACACTCCTTCGTGAGCCTTGACACTCCTGCGTAGGCCTTGACGCTCCTTTGTGAGCCTTGACACTCCTTCGTGAGCCTTGACACTCCTTCGTGAGCCTTGACACTCCTTCTTGAGCCTTGACACTCCTTCGTAGGCCTTGACACTCCTTCGTGAGCCTTGACACTCCTTCGTAGGCCTTGACACTCCTTTGTGAGCCTTGACACTCCTTCGTGAGCCTTGACACTCCTTCGTAGGCCTTGACACTCCTTCGTAGGCCTTGACACTCCTTCGTGAGCCTTAACACTCCTTCGTAGGCCTTGACACTCCTCGTGAGCCTTGACACTCCTTCGTGAGCCTTGACACTCCTTCGTGAGCCTTGACACTCCTTCGTGAGCCTTGACACTCCTGCGTAGGCCTTGACACTCCTTCGTAGGCCTTGACACTCCTTCGTGAGCCTTAACACTCCTTCGTAGGCCTTGACACTCCTCGTGAGCCTTGACACTCCTTCTTGAGCCTTGACACTCCTTCGTAGGCCTTGACACTCCTTCGTGAGCCTTGACACTCCTTCGTAGGCCTTGACACTCCTTTGTGAGCCTTGACACTCCTTCGTGAGCCTTGACACTCCTTCGTAGGCCTTGACACTCCTTCGTAGGCCTTGACACTCCTTCGTGAGCCTTAACACTCCTTCGTAGGCCTTGACACTCCTCGTGAGCCTTGACACTCCTTCGTGAGCCTTGACACTCCTTCGTAGGCCTTGACACTCCTTCGTGAGCCTTGACATTCCTTCGTAGGCCTTGACACTCTTTCGTGAGCATTGACACTCCTTCGGGAGCCTTGACACTCCTTCGTGAGCCTTGACACTCCTTCGTAGGCCTTGACACTCCTTCGTGAGCCTTGACACTCCTTCGTAGGCCTTGACACTCCTTCGTGAGCCTTGACACTCCTTCGTAGGCCTTGACTCTCCTTCGTAGGCCTTGACACTCCTTCGTGAGCCTTGACACTCCTTCGTGAGCCTTGACACTCCTTCGTAGGCCTTGACACTCCTTCGTGAGCCTTGACACTCCTTCGTAGGCCTTGACACTCCTTCGTGAGCCTTGACACTCCTTCGTAGGCCTTGACACTCCTCGTGAGCCTTGGCACTCCTTCGTAGGCCTTGACACTCCTTCGTGAGCCTTGACACTCCTTCGTAGGCCTTGACACTCCTTCGTGAGCCTTGACACTCCTTCGTGAGCCTTGACACTCCTTCGTAGGCCTTGACACTCCTTCGTGAGCCTTGACACTCCTTCGTAGGCCTTGACACTCCTTTGTGAGCCTTGACACTCCTTCGTGAGCCTTGACACTCCTTCGTAGGCCTTGACACTCCTTCGTGAGCCTTGACACTCCTTCGTAGGCCTTGACACTCCTTCGTGAGCCTTGACACTCCTTCGTAGGCCTTGACACTCCTTCGTAGGCCTTGACACTCCTTCGTGAGCCTTGACACTCCTTCGTAGGCCTTGACACTCCTTCGTGAGCCTTGACACTCCTTCGTGAGCCTTGACACTCCTTCGTAGGCCTTGACACTCCTTCGTGAGCCTTGACACTCCTTCGTAGGCCTTGACACTCCTTCGTGAGCCTTGACACTCCTTCGTAGGCCTTGACACTCCTTCGTGAGCCTTGACACTCCTTCGTAGGCCTTGACACTCCTTCGTGAGCCTTGACACTCCTTCGTGAGCCTTGACACTCCTTCGTGAGCCTTGACACTCCTTCGTAGGCCTTGACACTCCTTCGTGAGCCTTGACACTCCTTCGTGAGCCTTGACACTCCTTCGTGAGCCTTGACACTCCTTCGTGAGCCTTGACACTCCTGCGTAGGCCTTGACGCTCCTTTGTGAGCCTTGACACTCCTTCGTGAGCCTTGACACTCCTTCGTGAGCCTTGACACTCCTTCTTGAGCCTTGACACTCCTTCGTAGGCCTTGACACTCCTTCGTGAGCCTTGACACTCCTTCGTAGGCCTTGACACTCCTTTGTGAGCCTTGACACTCCTTCGTGAGCCTTGACACTCCTTCGTAGGCCTTGACACTCCTTCGTGAGCCTTGACATTCCTTCGTAGGCCTTGACACTCTTTCGTGAGCATTGACACTCCTTCGGGAGCCTTGACACTCCTTCGTGAGCCTTGACACTCCTTCGTAGGCCTTGACACTCCTTCGTGAGCCTTGACACTCCTTCGTAGGCCTTGACACTCCTTCGTGAGCCTTGACACTCCTTCGTAGGCCTTGACTCTCCTTCGTAGGCCTTGACACTCCTTCGTGAGCCTTGACACTCCTTCGTGAGCCTTGACACTCCTTCGTAGGCCTTGACACTCCTTCGTGAGCCTTGACACTCCTTCGTAGGCCTTGACACTCCTTCGTGAGCCTTGACACTCCTTCGTAGGCCTTGACACTCCTCGTGAGCCTTGGCACTCCTTCGTAGGCCTTGACACTCCTTCGTGAGCCTTGACACTCCTTCGTAGGCCTTGACACTCCTTCGTGAGCCTTGACACTCCTTCGTGAGCCTTGACACTCCTTCGTAGGCCTTGACACTCCTTCGTGAGCCTTGACACTCCTTCGTAGGCCTTGACACTCCTTTGTGAGCCTTGACACTCCTTCGTGAGCCTTGACACTCCTTCGTAGGCCTTGACACTCCTTCGTGAGCCTTGACACTCCTTCGTAGGCCTTGACACTCCTTCGTGAGCCTTGACACTCCTTCGTAGGCCTTGACACTCCTTCGTAGGCCTTGACACTCCTTCGTGAGCCTTGACACTCCTTCGTAGGCCTTGACACTCCTTCGTGAGCCTTGACACTCCTTCGTGAGCCTTGACACTCCTTCGTAGGCCTTGACACTCCTTCGTGAGCCTTGACACTCCTTCGTAGGCCTTGACACTCCTTCGTGAGCCTTGACACTCCTTCGTAGGCCTTGACACTCCTTCGTGAGCCTTGACACTCCTTCGTAGGCCTTGACACTCCTTCGTGAGCCTTGACACTCCTTCGTGAGCCTTGACACTCCTTCGTGAGCCTTGACACTCCTTCGTAGGCCTTGACACTCCTTCGTGAGCCTTGACACTCCTTCGTGAGCCTTGACACTCCTTCGTGAGCCTTGACACTCCTTCGTGAGCCTTGACACTCCTTCGTAGGCCTTGACACTCCTTCGTAGGCCTTGACACTCCTTCGTGAGCCTTAACACTCCTTCGTAGGCCTTGACACTCCTCGTGAGCCTTGACACTCCTTCGTGAGCCTTGACACTCCTTCGTAGGCCTTGACACTCCTTCGTGAGCCTTGACATTCCTTCGTAGGCCTTGACACTCTTTCGTGAGCATTGACACTCCTTCGGGAGCCTTGACACTCCTTCGTGAGCCTTGACACTCCTTCGTAGGCCTTGACACTCCTTCGTGAGCCTTGACACTCCTTCGTAGGCCTTGACACTCCTTCGTGAGCCTTGACACTCCTTCGTAGGCCTTGACTCTCCTTCGTAGGCCTTGACACTCCTTCGTGAGCCTTGACACTCCTTCGTGAGCCTTGACACTCCTTCGTAGGCCTTGACACTCCTTCGTGAGCCTTGACACTCCTTCGTAGGCCTTGACACTCCTTCGTGAGCCTTGACACTCCTTCGTAGGCCTTGACACTCCTCGTGAGCCTTGGCACTCCTTCGTAGGCCTTGACACTCCTTCGTGAGCCTTGACACTCCTTCGTAGGCCTTGACACTCCTTCGTGAGCCTTGACACTCCTTCGTGAGCCTTGACACTCCTTCGTAGGCCTTGACACTCCTTCGTGAGCCTTGACACTCCTTCGTAGGCCTTGACACTCCTTTGTGAGCCTTGACACTCCTTCGTGAGCCTTGACACTCCTTCGTAGGCCTTGACACTCCTTCGTGAGCCTTGACACTCCTTCGTAGGCCTTGACACTCCTTCGTGAGCCTTGACACTCCTTCGTAGGCCTTGACACTCCTTCGTAGGCCTTGACACTCCTTCGTGAGCCTTGACACTCCTTCGTAGGCCTTGACACTCCTTCGTGAGCCTTGACACTCCTTCGTGAGCCTTGACACTCCTTCGTAGGCCTTGACACTCCTTCGTGAGCCTTGACACTCCTTCGTAGGCCTTGACACTCCTTCGTGAGCCTTGACACTCCTTCGTAGGCCTTGACACTCCTTCGTGAGCCTTGACACTCCTTCGTAGGCCTTGACACTCCTTCGTGAGCCTTGACACTCCTTCGTGAGCCTTGACACTCCTTCGTGAGCCTTGACACTCCTTCGTAGGCCTTGACACTCCTTCGTGAGCCTTGACACTCCTTCGTGAGCCTTGACACTCCTTCGTGAGCCTTGACACTCCTTCGTGAGCCTTGACACTCCTGCGTAGGCCTTGACGCTCCTTTGTGAGCCTTGACACTCCTTCGTGAGCCTTGACACTCCTTCGTGAGCCTTGACACTCCTTCTTGAGCCTTGACACTCCTTCGTAGGCCTTGACACTCCTTCGTGAGCCTTGACACTCCTTCGTAGGCCTTGACACTCCTTTGTGAGCCTTGACACTCCTTCGTGAGCCTTGACACTCCTTCGTAGGCCTTGACACTCCTTCGTAGGCCTTGACACTCCTTCGTGAGCCTTAACACTCCTTCGTAGGCCTTGACACTCCTCGTGAGCCTTGACACTCCTTCGTGAGCCTTGACACTCCTTCGTAGGCCTTGACACTCCTTCGTGAGCCTTGACACTCCTTCGTGAGCCTTGACGCTCCTTCGTGAGCCTTGACACTCCTTCGTGAGCCTTGACACTCCTTCGTGAGCCTTGACACTCCTTCGTAGGCCTTGACACTCCTTCGTGAGCCTTGACACTCCTTCGTGAGCCTTGACACTCCTTCGTGAGCCTTGACACTCCTTCGTGAGCCTTGACACTCCTGCGTAGGCCTTGACGCTCCTTCGTGAGCCTTGACACTCCTTCGTGAGCCTTGACACTCCTTCGTGAGCCTTGACACTCCTTCGTAGGCCTTGACACTCCTTCGTGAGCCTTGACACTCCTTCGTGAGCCTTGACACTCCTTCGTAGGCCTTGACACTCCTTCGTGAGCCTTGACACTCCTTCGTAGGTCTTGACACTCCATCGTGAGCCTTAACACTCCTTCGTGAGCCTTGACACTCCTTCGTAGGCCTTGACACTCCTTCGTGAGCCTTGACACTCCTTCGTAGGCCTTGACACTCCTTCGTGAGCCTTGACACTCCTTCGTAGGCCTTGACACTCCTTCGTGAGCCTTGACACTCCTTCGTGAGCCTTGACACTCCTTCGTAGGCCTTGACACTCCTTCGTGAGCCTTGACACTCCTTCGTAGGCCTTGGCACTCCTTCGTGAGCCTTGACACTCCTTCGTGAGCCTTGACACTCCTTCGTGAGCCTTGACACTCCTTCGTGAGCCTTGACACTCCTTCGTGAGCCTTGACACTCCTTCGTAGGCCTTGACACTCCTTCGTGAGCCTTGACACTCCTTCGTAGGCCTTGACACTCTTTCGTGAGCATTGACACTCCTTCGGGAGCCTTGACACTCCTTCGTGAGCCTTGACACTCCTTCGTAGGCCTTGACACTCCTTCGTGAGCCTTGACACTCCTTCGTAGGCCTTGACACTCCTTCGTGAGCCTTGACACTCCTTCGTAGGCCTTGACTCTCCTTCGTAGGCCTTGACACTCCTTCGTGAGCCTTGACACTCCTTCGTGAGCCTTGACACTCCTTCGTGAGCCTTGACACTCCTTCGTAGGCCTTGACACTCCTTCGTGAGCCTTGACACTCCTTCGTGAGCCTTGACACTCCTTCGTAGGCCTTGACACTCCTTCGTGAGCCTTGACACTCCTTCGTAGGCCTTGACACTCCTTTGTGAGCCTTGACACTCCTTCGTGAGCCTTGACACTCCTTCGTAGGCCTTGACACTCCTTCGTGAGCCTTGACACTCCTTCGTAGGCCTTGACACTCCTTCGTGAGCCTTGACACTCCTTCGTAGGCCTTGACACTCCTTCGTGAGCCTTGACACTCCTTCGTAGGCCTTGACTCTCCTTCGTAGGCCTTGACACTCCTTCGTGAGCCTTGACACTCCTTCGTAGGCCTTGACACTCCTTCGTGAGCCTTGACACTCCTTCGTAGGCCTTGACACTCCTTCGTGAGCCTTAACACTCCTTCGCGAGCCTTGACACTCCTTCGTAGGCCTTGACACTCCTTCGTAGGCCTTGACACTCCTTCGTGAGCCTTGACACTCCTTCGTAGGCCTTGACACTCCTTCGTAGGCCTTGACACTTTCGTGAGCCTTGACACTCCTTCGTAGGCCTTGGCACTCCTTCGTGAGCCTTGACACTCCTTCGTGAGCCTTGACACTCCTTCGTGAGCCTTGACACTCCTTCGTGAGCCTTGACACTCCTTCGTAGGCCTTGACACTCCTTCGTGAGCCTTGACACTCCTTCGTAGGCCTTGACACTCCTTCGTGAGCCTTGACACTCCTTCGTGAGCCTTGACACTCCTTCGTGAGCCTTGACACTCCTTCGTAGGCCTTGACACTCCTTCGTGAGCCTTGACACTCCTTCGTAGGCCTTGACACTCCTTCGTGAGCCTTGACGCTCCTTCGTAGGCCTTGACTCTCCTTCGTAGGCCTTGACACTCCTTCGTGAGCCTTGACACTCCTTCGTGAGCCTTGACACTCCTTCGTAGGCCTTGACACTCCTTCGTAGGCCTTGACACTCCTTCGTGAGCCTTGACACTCCTTCGTAGGCCTTGCCACTCTTTCGTGAGCCTTGACACTCCTTCGTAGGCCTTGACACTCCTTCGTGAGCCTTGACACTCCTTCGTGAGCCTTGACACTCCTTCGTGAGCCTTGACACTCCTTCGTAGGCCTTGACACTCCTTCGTGAGCCTTGACACTCCTTCGTAGGCCTTGACACTCCTTCGTGAGCCTTAACACTCCTTCGTAGGCCTTGACACTCCTTCGTGAGCCTTGACACTCCTTCGTAGGCCTTGACTCTCCTTCGTAGGCCTTGACACTCCTTCGTGAGCCTTGACACTCCTTCGTGAGCCTTGACACTCCTTCGTGAGCCTTGACACTCCTTCGTAGGCCTTGACACTCCTTCGTGAGCCTTGACACTCCTTCGTGAGCCTTGACACTCCTTCGTAGGCCTTGACACTCCTTCGTGAGCCTTGACACTCCTTCGTAGGCCTTGACACTCCTTTGTGAGCCTTGACACTCCTTCGTGAGCCTTGACACTCCTTCGTAGGCCTTGACACTCCTTCGTGAGCCTTGACACTCCTTCGTAGGCCTTGACACTCCTTCGTGAGCCTTGACACTCCTTCGTAGGCCTTGACACTCCTTCGTGAGCCTTGACACTCCTTCGTAGGCCTTGACTCTCCTTCGTAGGCCTTGACACTCCTTCGTGAGCCTTGACACTCCTTCGTAGGCCTTGACACTCCTTCGTGAGCCTTGACACTCCTTCGTAGGCCTTGACACTCCTTCGTGAGCCTTAACACTCCTTCGCGAGCCTTGACACTCCTTCGTAGGCCTTGACACTCCTTCGTAGGCCTTGACACTCCTTCGTGAGCCTTGACACTCCTTCGTAGGCCTTGACACTCCTTCGTAGGCCTTGACACTTTCGTGAGCCTTGACACTCCTTCGTAGGCCTTGGCACTCCTTCGTGAGCCTTGACACTCCTTCGTGAGCCTTGACACTCCTTCGTGAGCCTTGACACTCCTTCGTGAGCCTTGACACTCCTTCGTAGGCCTTGACACTCCTTCGTGAGCCTTGACACTCCTTCGTAGGCCTTGACACTCCTTCGTGAGCCTTGACACTCCTTCGTGAGCCTTGACACTCCTTCGTGAGCCTTGACACTCCTTCGTAGGCCTTGACACTCCTTCGTGAGCCTTGACACTCCTTCGTAGGCCTTGACACTCCTTCGTGAGCCTTGACGCTCCTTCGTAGGCCTTGACTCTCCTTCGTAGGCCTTGACACTCCTTCGTGAGCCTTGACACTCCTTCGTGAGCCTTGACACTCCTTCGTAGGCCTTGACACTCCTTCGTAGGCCTTGACACTCCTTCGTGAGCCTTGACACTCCTTCGTAGGCCTTGCCACTCTTTCGTGAGCCTTGACACTCCTTCGTAGGCCTTGACACTCCTTCGTGAGCCTTGACACTCCTTCGTGAGCCTTGACACTCCTTCGTGAGCCTTGACACTCCTTCGTAGGCCTTGACACTCCTTCGTGAGCCTTGACACTCCTTCGTAGGCCTTGACACTCCTTCGTGAGCCTTGACACTCCTTCGTAGGCCTTGACTCTCCTTCGTAGGCCTTGACACTCCTTCGTGAGCCTTGACACTCCTTCGTGAGCCTTGACACTCCTTCGTAGGCCTTGACACTCCTTCGTGAGCCTTGACACTCCTTCGTAGGCCTTGACACTCCTTCGTGAGCCTTGACACTCCTTCGTAGGCCTTGACACTCCTTCGTGAGCCTTGACACTCCTTCGTAGGCCTTGACACTCCTTTGTGAGCCTTGACACTCCTTCGTGAGCCTTGACACTCCTTCGTAGGCCTTGACACTCCTTCGTAGGCCTTGACACTCCTTCGTGAGCCTTAACACTCCTTCGTAGGCCTTGACACTCCTCGTGAGCCTTGGCACTCCTTCGTAGGCCTTGACACTCCTTCGTGAGCCTTGACACTCCTTCGTAGGCCTTGACACTCCTTCGTGAGCCTTGACACTCCTTCGTGAGCCTTGACACTCCTTCGTAGGCCTTGGCACTCCTTCGTGAGCCTTGACACTCCTTCGTAGGCCTTGACACTCCTTTGTGAGCCTTGACACTCCTTCGTGAGCCTTGACACTCCTTCGTAGGCCTTGACACTCCTTCGTGAGCCTTGACACTCCTTCGTAGGCCTTGACACTCCTTCGTGAGCCTTGACACTCCTTCGTAGGCCTTGACACTCCTTCGTGAGCCTTGACACTCCTTCGTAGGCCTTGACTCTCCTTCGTAGGCCTTGACACTCCTTCGTGAGCCTTGACACTCCTTCGTAGGCCTTGACACTCCTTCGTGAGCCTTGACACTCCTTCGTAGGCCTTGACACTCCTTCGTGAGCCTTAACACTCCTTCGCGAGCCTTGACACTCCTTCGTAGGCCTTGACACTCCTTCGTAGGCCTTGACACTCCTTCGTGAGCCTTGACACTCCTTCGTAGGCCTTGACACTCCTTCGTAGGCCTTGACACTTTCGTGAGCCTTGACACTCCTTCGTAGGCCTTGGCACTCCTTCGTGAGCCTTGACACTCCTTCGTGAGCCTTGACACTCCTTCGTGAGCCTTGACACTCCTTCGTGAGCCTTGACACTCCTTCGTAGGCCTTGACACTCCTTCGTGAGCCTTGACACTCCTTCGTGAGCCTTGACACTCCTTCGTGAGCCTTGACACTCCTTCGTAGGCCTTGACACTCCTTCGTGAGCCTTGACACTCCTTCGTAGGCCTTGACACTCCTTCGTGAGCCTTGACACTCCTTCGTAGGCCTTGACACTCCTTCGTGAGCCTTGACACTCCTTCGTAGGCCTTGACTCTCCTTCGTAGGCCTTGACACTCCTTCGTGAGCCTTGAACTCCTTCGTAGGCCTTGACACTCCTTCGTGAGCCTTGACACTCCTTCGTAGGCCTTGACACTCCTTCGTGAGCCTTAACACTTCTTCGCGAGCCTTGACACTCCTTCGTAGGCCTTGACACTCCTTCGTAGGCCTTGACACTCCTTCGTGAGCCTTGACACTCCTTCGTAGGCCTTGACACTCCTTCGTAGGCCTTGACACTTTCGTGAGCCTTGACACTCCTTCGTAGGCCTTGGCACTCCTTCGTGAGCCTTGACACTCCTTCGTGAGCCTTGACACTCCTTCGTGAGCCTTGACACTCCTTCGTGAGCCTTGACACTCCTTCGTGAGCCTTGACACTCCTTCGTAGGCCTTGACACTCCTTCGTGAGCCTTGACACTCCTTCGTAGGCCTTGACACTCTTTCGTGAGCCTTGACACTCCTTCGTAGGCCTTGACACTCCTTCGTGAGCTTTGACACTCCTTCGTGAGCCTTGACACTCCTTCGTGAGCCTTGACACTCCTTCGTAGGCCTTGACACTCCTTCGTGAGCCTTGACACTCCTTCGTAGGCCTTGACACTCCTTCGTGAGCCTTGACACTCCTTCGTAGGCCTTGACTCTCCTTCGTAGGCCTTGACACTCCTTCGTGAGCCTTGACACTCCTTCGTGAGCCTTGACACTCCTTCGTAGGCCTTGACACTCCTTCGTGAGCCTTGACACTCCTTCGTAGGCCTTGACACTCCTTCGTGAGCCTTGACACTCCTTCGTAGGCCTTGACACTCCTTCGTGAGCCTTGACACTCCTTCGTAGGCCTTGACACTCCTTTGTGAGCCTTGACACTCCTTCGTGAGCCTTGACACTCCTTCGAAGGTCTTGACACTCCATCGTGAGCCTTAACACTCCTTCGTGAGCCTTGACACTCCTTCGTAGGCCTTGACACTCCTTCGTAGGCCTTGACACTCCTTCGTGAGCCTTAACACTCCTTCGTAGGCCTTGACACTCCTCGTGAGCCTTGGCACTCCTTCGTAGGCCTTGACACTCCTTCGTGAGCCTTGACACTCCTTCGTAGGCCTTGACACTCCTTCGTGAGCCTTGACACTCCTTCGTGAGCCTTGACACTCCTTCGTAGGCCTTGACACTCCTTCGTGAGCCTTGACACTCCTTCGCGAGCCTTGACACTCCTTCGTAGGCCTTGACACTCCTTCGTAGGCCTTGACACTCCTTCGTGAGCCTTGACACTCCTTCGTAGGCCTTGACACTCCTTCGTAGGCCTTGACACTTTCGTGAGCCTTGACACTCCTTCGTAGGCCTTGGCACTCCTTCGTGAGCCTTGACACTCCTTCGTGAGCCTTGACACTCCTTCGTGAGCCTTGACACTCCTTCGTGAGCCTTGACACTCCTTCGTGAGCCTTGACACTCTTTCGTGAGCCTTGACACTCCTTCGTGAGCCTTGACACTCCTTCGTAGGCCTTGACACTCTTTCGTGAGCCTTGACACTCCTTCGTAGGCCTTGACACTCCTTCGTGAGCCTTGACACTCCTTCGTGAGCCTTGACTCTCCTTCGTGAGCCTTGACACTCCTTCGTAGGCCTTGACACTCCTTCGTGAGCCTTGACACTCCTTCGTAGGCCTTGACACTCCTTCGTGAGCCTTGACACTCCTTCGTAGGCCTTGACTCTCCTTCGTAGGCCTTGACACTCCTTCGTGAGCCTTGACACTCCTTCGTGAGCCTTGACTCTCCTTCGTAGGCCTTGACACTCCTTCGTGAGCCTTGACACTCCTTCGTAGGCCTTGACACTCCTTCGTGAGCCTTGACACTCCTTCGTAGGCCTTGACACTCCTTCGTGAGCCTTGACACTCCTTCGTAGGCCTTGACACTCCTTCGTGAGCCTTGACACTCCTTCGTGACCCTTGACACTCCTTCGTGAGCCTTGACACTCCTTCGTAGGCCTTGACACTCCTTCGTGAGCCTTGACACTCCTTCGTGAGCCTTGACACTCCTTCGTGAGCCTTGACACTCCTTCGTAGGCCTTGACACTCCTTCGTGAGCCTTGACACTCCTTCGTAGGCCTTGACACTCCTTCGTGAGCCTTGACACTCCTTCGTGAGCCTTGACACTCCTTCGTGAGCCTTGACACTCCTTCGTGAGCCTTGACACTCCTGCGTAGGCCTTGACGCTCCTTCGTGAGCCTTGACACTCCTTCGTGAGCCTTGACACTCCTTCGTGAGCCTTGACACTCCTTCGTAGGCCTTGACACTCCTTCGTGAGCCTTGACACTCCTTCGTAAGCCTTGACACTCCTTCGTAGGCCTTGACACTCCTTCGTGAGCCTTGACACTCCTTCGTGAGCCTTGACACTCCTTCGTAGGCCTTGACACTCCTTCGTGAGCCTTGACACTCCTTCGTAGGCCTTGACACTCCTTCGTGAGCCTTGACACTCCTTCGTGAGCCTTGACACTCCTTCGTGAGCCTTGACACTCCTTCGTAGGCCTTGACACTCCTTCGTGAGCCTTGACACTCCTTCGTAGGCCTTGACACTCTTTCGTGAGCCTTGACACTTTTTCGTAGGCCTTGACACTCCTTCGTGAGCTTTGACACTCCTTCGTGAGCCTTGACACTCCTTCGTGAGCCTTGACACTCCTTCGTAGGCCTTGACACTCCTTCGTGAGCCTTGACACTCCTTCGTAGGCCTTGACACTCCTTCGTGAGCCTTGACACTCCTTCGTAGGCCTTGACTCTCCTTCGTAGGCCTTGACACTCCTTCGTGAGCCTTGACACTCCTTCGTGAGCCTTGACACTCCTTCGTAGGCCTTGACACTCCTTCGTGAGCCTTGACACTCCTTCGTAGGCCTTGACACTCCTTCGTGAGCCTTGACACTCCTTCGTAGGCCTTGACACTCCTTCGTGAGCCTTGACACTCCTTCGTAGGCCTTGACACTCCTTTGTGAGCCTTGACACTCCTTCGTGAGCCTTGACACTCCTTCGAAGGTCTTGACACTCCATCGTGAGCCTTAACACTCCTTCGTGAGCCTTGACACTCCTTCGTAGGCCTTGACACTCCTTCGTAGGCCTTGACACTCCTTCGTGAGCCTTAACACTCCTTCGTAGGCCTTGACACTCCTCGTGAGCCTTGGCACTCCTTCGTAGGCCTTGACACTCCTTCGTGAGCCTTGACACTCCTTCGTAGGCCTTGACACTCCTTCGTGAGCCTTGACACTCCTTCGTGAGCCTTGACACTCCTTCGTAGGCCTTGACACTCCTTCGTGAGCCTTGACACTCCTTCGCGAGCCTTGACACTCCTTCGTAGGCCTTGACACTCCTTCGTAGGCCTTGACACTCCTTCGTGAGCCTTGACACTCCTTCGTAGGCCTTGACACTCCTTCGTAGGCCTTGACACTTTCGTGAGCCTTGACACTCCTTCGTAGGCCTTGGCACTCCTTCGTGAGCCTTGACACTCCTTCGTGAGCCTTGACACTCCTTCGTGAGCCTTGACACTCCTTCGTGAGCCTTGACACTCCTTCGTGAGCCTTGACACTCTTTCGTGAGCCTTGACACTCCTTCGTGAGCCTTGACACTCCTTCGTAGGCCTTGACACTCTTTCGTGAGCCTTGACACTCCTTCGTAGGCCTTGACACTCCTTCGTGAGCCTTGACACTCCTTCGTGAGCCTTGACTCTCCTTCGTGAGCCTTGACACTCCTTCGTAGGCCTTGACACTCCTTCGTGAGCCTTGACACTCCTTCGTAGGCCTTGACACTCCTTCGTGAGCCTTGACACTCCTTCGTAGGCCTTGACTCTCCTTCGTAGGCCTTGACACTCCTTCGTGAGCCTTGACACTCCTTCGTGAGCCTTGACTCTCCTTCGTAGGCCTTGACACTCCTTCGTGAGCCTTGACACTCCTTCGTAGGCCTTGACACTCCTTCGTGAGCCTTGACACTCCTTCGTAGGCCTTGACACTCCTTCGTGAGCCTTGACACTCCTTCGTAGGCCTTGACACTCCTTCGTGAGCCTTGACACTCCTTCGTGACCCTTGACACTCCTTCGTGAGCCTTGACACTCCTTCGTAGGCCTTGACACTCCTTCGTGAGCCTTGACACTCCTTCGTGAGCCTTGACACTCCTTCGTGAGCCTTGACACTCCTTCGTAGGCCTTGACACTCCTTCGTGAGCCTTGACACTCCTTCGTAGGCCTTGACACTCCTTCGTGAGCCTTGACACTCCTTCGTGAGCCTTGACACTCCTTCGTGAGCCTTGACACTCCTTCGTGAGCCTTGACACTCCTGCGTAGGCCTTGACGCTCCTTCGTGAGCCTTGACACTCCTTCGTGAGCCTTGACACTCCTTCGTGAGCCTTGACACTCCTTCGTAGGCCTTGACACTCCTTCGTGAGCCTTGACACTCCTTCGTAAGCCTTGACACTCCTTCGTAGGCCTTGACACTCCTTCGTGAGCCTTGACACTCCTTCGTGAGCCTTGACACTCCTTCGTAGGCCTTGACACTCCTTCGTGAGCCTTGACACTCCTTCGTAGGCCTTGACACTCCTTCGTGAGCCTTGACACTCCTTCGTGAGCCTTGACACTCCTTCGTGAGCCTTGACACTCCTTCGTAGGCCTTGACACTCCTTCGTGAGCCTTGACACTCCTTCGTAGGCCTTGACACTCTTTCGTGAGCCTTGACACTTTTTCGTAGGCCTTGACACTCCTTCGTGAGCTTTGACACTCCTTCGTGAGCCTTGACACTCCTTCGTGAGCCTTGACACTCCTTCGTAGGCCTTGACACTCCTTCGTGAGCCTTGACACTCCTTCGTAGGCCTTGACACTCCTTCGTGAGCCTTGACACTCCTTCGTAGGCCTTGACTCTCCTTCGTAGGCCTTGACACTCCTTCGTGAGCCTTGACACTCCTTCGTGAGCCTTGACACTCCTTCGTAGGCCTTGACACTCCTTCGTGAGCCTTGACACTCCTTCGTAGGCCTTGACACTCCTTCGTGAGCCTTGACACTCCTTCGTAGGCCTTGACACTCCTTCGTGAGCCTTGACACTCCTTCGTAGGCCTTGACACTCCTTTGTGAGCCTTGACACTCCTTCGTGAGCCTTGACACTCCTTCGAAGGTCTTGACACTCCATCGTGAGCCTTAACACTCCTTCGTGAGCCTTGACACTCCTTCGTAGGCCTTGACACTCCTTCGTAGGCCTTGACACTCCTTCGTGAGCCTTAACACTCCTTCGTAGGCCTTGACACTCCTCGTGAGCCTTGGCACTCCTTCGTAGGCCTTGACACTCCTTCGTGAGCCTTGACACTCCTTCGTAGGCCTTGACACTCCTTCGTGAGCCTTGACACTCCTTCGTGAGCCTTGACACTCCTTCGTAGGCCTTGACACTCCTTCGTGAGCCTTGACACTCCTTCGCGAGCCTTGACACTCCTTCGTAGGCCTTGACACTCCTTCGTAGGCCTTGACACTCCTTCGTGAGCCTTGACACTCCTTCGTAGGCCTTGACACTCCTTCGTAGGCCTTGACACTTTCGTGAGCCTTGACACTCCTTCGTAGGCCTTGGCACTCCTTCGTGAGCCTTGACACTCCTTCGTGAGCCTTGACACTCCTTCGTGAGCCTTGACACTCCTTCGTGAGCCTTGACACTCCTTCGTGAGCCTTGACACTCTTTCGTGAGCCTTGACACTCCTTCGTGAGCCTTGACACTCCTTCGTAGGCCTTGACACTCTTTCGTGAGCCTTGACACTCCTTCGTAGGCCTTGACACTCCTTCGTGAGCCTTGACACTCCTTCGTGAGCCTTGACTCTCCTTCGTGAGCCTTGACACTCCTTCGTAGGCCTTGACACTCCTTCGTGAGCCTTGACACTCCTTCGTAGGCCTTGACACTCCTTCGTGAGCCTTGACACTCCTTCGTAGGCCTTGACTCTCCTTCGTAGGCCTTGACACTCCTTCGTGAGCCTTGACACTCCTTCGTGAGCCTTGACTCTCCTTCGTAGGCCTTGACACTCCTTCGTGAGCCTTGACACTCCTTCGTAGGCCTTGACACTCCTTCGTGAGCCTTGACACTCCTTCGTAGGCCTTGACACTCCTTCGTGAGCCTTGACACTCCTTCGTAGGCCTTGACACTCCTTCGTGAGCCTTGACACTCCTTCGTGACCCTTGACACTCCTTCGTGAGCCTTGACACTCCTTCGTAGGCCTTGACACTCCTTCGTGAGCCTTGACACTCCTTCGTGAGCCTTGACACTCCTTCGTGAGCCTTGACACTCCTTCGTAGGCCTTGACACTCCTTCGTGAGCCTTGACACTCCTTCGTAGGCCTTGACACTCCTTCGTGAGCCTTGACACTCCTTCGTGAGCCTTGACACTCCTTCGTGAGCCTTGACACTCCTTCGTGAGCCTTGACACTCCTGCGTAGGCCTTGACGCTCCTTCGTGAGCCTTGACACTCCTTCGTGAGCCTTGACACTCCTTCGTGAGCCTTGACACTCCTTCGTAGGCCTTGACACTCCTTCGTGAGCCTTGACACTCCTTCGTAAGCCTTGACACTCCTTCGTAGGCCTTGACACTCCTTCGTGAGCCTTGACACTCCTTCGTGAGCCTTGACACTCCTTCGTAGGCCTTGACACTCCTTCGTGAGCCTTGACACTCCTTCGTAGGCCTTGACACTCCTTCGTGAGCCTTGACACTCCTTCGTAGGCCTTGACACTCCTTCGTGAGCCTTAACACTCCTTCGTGAGCCTTGACACTCCTTCGTAGGCCTTGACACTCCTTCGTAGGCCTTGACACTCCTTCGTGAGCCTTGACACTCCTTCGTAGGCCTTGACACTCCTTCGTGAGCCTTGACACTCCTTCGTAGGCCTTGACACTCCTTCGTGAGCCTTGACACTCCTTCGTAGGCCTTGACTCTCCTTCGTAGGCCTTGACACTCTTTCGTGAGCCTTGACACTCCTTCGTGAGCCTTGACACTCCTTCGTGAGCCTTGACACTCCTTCGTGAGCCTTGACACTCCTTCGTGAGCCTTGACACTCCTTCGTGAGCCTTGACACTCCTTCGTGAGCCTTGACACTCCTGCGTAGGCCTTGACGCTCCTTCGTGAGCCTTGACACTCCTTCGTGAGCCTTGACACTCCTTCGTGAGCCTTGACACTCCTTCGTAGGCCTTGACACTCCTTCGTGAGCCTTGACACTCCTTCGTGAGCCTTGACACTCCTTCGTAGGCCTTGACACTCCTTCGTGAGCCTTGACACTCCTTCGTGAGCCTTGACACTCCTTCGTAGGCCTTGACACTCCTTCGTGAGCCTTGACACTCCTTCGTAGGCCTTGACACTCCTTCGTGAGCCTTGACACTCCTTCGTAGGCCTTGACACTCCTTCGTGAGCCTTAACACTCCTTCGTGAGCCTTGACACTCCTTCGTAGGCCTTGACACTCCTTCGTAGGCCTTGACACTCCTTCGTGAGCCTTGACACTCCTTCGTAGGCCTTGACACTCCTTCGTGAGCCTTGACACTCCTTCGTAGGCCTTGACACTCCTTCGTGAGCCTTGACACTCCTTCGTAGGCCTTGACTCTCCTTCGTAGGCCTTGACACTCTTTCGTGAGCCTTGACACTCCTTCGTGAGCCTTGACACTCCTTCGTGAGCCTTGACACTCCTTCGTAGGCCTTGACACTCCTTCGTGAGCCTTGACACTCCTTTGTAGGCCTTGACACTCCTTCGTGAGCCTTGACACTCCTTCGTAGGCCTTGACACTCCTTCGTAGGCCTTGACACTCCTTCGTGAGCCTTGACACTCCTTCGTAGGCCTTGACACTCCTTCGTGAGCCTTGACACTCCTTCGTAGGCCTTGACTCTCCTTCGTAGGCCTTGACACTCCTTCGTGAGCCTTGACACTCCTTCGTGAGCCTTGACACTCCTTCGTAGGCCTTGACACTCCTTCGTGAGCCTTGACACTCCTTCGTAGGCCTTGACACTCCTTCGTGAGCCTTGACACTCCTTCGTAGGCCTTGACACTCCTTCGTGAGCCTTGACACTCCTTCGTAGGCCTTGACACTCCTTCGTGAGCCTTGACACTCCTTCGTAGGCCTTGACACTCCTTCGTGAGCCTTGACACTCCTTCGTAGGCCTTGACACTCTTTCGTGAGCATTGACACTCCTTCGTGAGCCTTGACACTCCTTCGTGAGCCTTGACACTCCTTCGTAGGCCTTGACACTCCTTCGTAGGCCTTGACACTCCTTCGTGAGCCTTGACACTCCTTCGTAGGCCTTGACACTCCTTCGTGAGCCTTGACACTCCTTCGTAGGCCTTGACACTCCTTCGTGAGCCTTGACACTCCTTCGTAGGCCTTGACACTCCTTCGTGAGCCTTGACACTCCTTCGTAGGCCTTGACTCTCCTTCGTAGGCCTTGACACTCTTTCGTGAGCCTTGACACTCTTTCGTGAGCATTGACACTCCTTCGTGAGCCTTGACACTCCTTCGTGAGCCTTGACACTCCTTCGTAGGCCTTGACACTCCTTCGTGAGCCTTGACACCCCTTCGTAGGCCTTGACACTCCTTCGTGAGCCTTGACACTCCTTCGTAGGCCTTGACTCTCCTTCTTAGGCCTTGACACTCCTTCGTGAGCCTTGACACTCCTTCGTAGGCCTTGACACTCCTTCGTAGGCCTTGACACTCCTTCGTGAGCCTTGACACTCCTTCGTGAGCCTTGACACTCCTTCGTAGGCCTTGACACTCCTTCGTGAGCCTTGACACTCCTTCGTGAGCCTTGACACTCCTTCGTAGGCCTTGACACTCCTTCGTGAGCCTTGACACTCCTTCGTGAGCCTTGACACTCCTTCGTGAGCCTTGACACTCCTTCGTGAGCCTTGACACTCCTTCGTAGGCCTTGACACTCCTTCGTGAGCCTTGACACTCCTTCGTAGGCCTTGACACTCCTTCGTGAGCCTTGACACTCCTTCGTGACCCTTGACACTCCTTCGTAGGCCTTGACACTCCTTCGTGAGCCTTAACACTCCTTCGCGAGCCTTGACACTCCTTCGTAGGCCTTGACACTCCTTCGTAGGTCTTGACACTCCTTCGTGAGCCTTGACACTCCTTCGTGAGCCTTGACACTCCTTCGTGAGCCTTGACACTCCTTCGTGAGCCTTGACACTCCTTCGTAGGCCTTGACACTCCTTCGTGAGCCTTGACACTCCTTCGTAGGCCTTGACACTCCTTCGTGAGCCTTGACACTCCTTCGTGACCCTTGACACTCCTTCGTAGGCCTTGACACTCCTTCGTGAGCCTTAACACTCCTTCGCGAGCCTTGACACTCCTTCGTAGGCCTTGACACTCCTTCGTAGGCCTTGACACTCCTTCGTGAGCCTTGACACTCCTTCGTAGGCCTTGACACTCCTTCGTAGGCCTTGACACTCCTTCGTAGGCCTTGACACTCCTTCGTGAGCCTTAACACTCCTTCGTAGGCCTTGACACTCCTCGTGAGCCTTGGCACTCCTTCGTAGGCCTTGACACTCCTTCGTGAGCCTTGACACTCCTTCGTAGGCCTTGACACTCCTTCGTGAGCCTTGACAATCCTTCGTGAGCCTTGACACTCCTTCGTAGGCCTTGACACTCCTTCGTGAGCCTTAACACTCCTTCGCGAGCCTTGACACTCCTTCGTAGGCCTTGACACTCCTTCGTAGGCCTTGACACTCCTTCGTGAGCCTTGACACTCCTTCGTAGGCCTTGACACTCCTTCGTAGGCCTTGACACTTTCGTGAGCCTTGACACTCCTTCGTAGGCCTTGGCACTCCTTCGTGAGCCTTGACACTCCTTCGTGAGCCTTGACACTCCTTCGTGAGCCTTGACACTCCTTCGTGAGCCTTGACACTCCTTCGTGAGCCTTGACACTCTTTCGTGAGCCTTGATACTCCTTCGTGAGCCTTGACACTCCTTCGTAGGCCTTGACACTCTTTCGTGAGCCTTGACACTCCTTCGTAGGCCTTGACACTCCTTCGTGAGCCTTGACACTCCTTCGTGAGCCTTGACTCTCCTTCGTGAGCCTTGACACTCCTTCGTAGGCCTTGACACTCCTTCGTGAGCCTTGACACTCCTTCGTAGGCCTTGACACTCCTTCGTGAGCCTTGACACTCCTTCGTAGGCCTTGACTCTCCTTCGTAGGCCTTGACACTCCTTCGTGAGCCTTGACACTCCTTCGTGAGCCTTGACTCTCCTTCGTAGGCCTTGACACTCCTTCGTGAGCCTTGACACTCCTTCGTAGGCCTTGACACTCCTTCGTGAGCCTTGACACTCCTTCGTAGGCCTTGACACTCCTTCGTGAGCCTTGACACTCCTTCGTAGGCCTTGACACTCCTTCGTGAGCCTTGACACTCCTTCGTGACCCTTGACACTCCTTCGTGAGCCTTGACACTCCTTCGTAGGCCTTGACACTCCTTCGTGAGCCTTGACACTCCTTCGTGAGCCTTGACACTCCTTCGTGAGCCTTGACACTCCTTCGTAGGCCTTGACACTCCTTCGTGAGCCTTGACACTCCTTCGTAGGCCTTGACACTCCTTCGTGAGCCTTGACACTCCTTCGTGAGCCTTGACACTCCTTCGTGAGCCTTGACACTCCTTCGTGAGCCTTGACACTCCTGCGTAGGCCTTGACGCTCCTTCGTGAGCCTTGACACTCCTTCGTGAGCCTTGACACTCCTTCGTGAGCCTTGACACTCCTTCGTAGGCCTTGACACTCCTTCGTGAGCCTTGACACTCCTTCGTGAGCCTTGACACTCCTTCGTAGGCCTTGACACTCCTTCGTGAGCCTTGACACTCCTTCGTGAGCCTTGACACTCCTTCGTAGGCCTTGACACTCCTTCGTGAGCCTTGACACTCCTTCGTAGGCCTTGACACTCCTTCGTGAGCCTTGACACTCCTTCGTAGGCCTTGACACTCCTTCGTGAGCCTTAACACTCCTTCGTGAGCCTTGACACTCCTTCGTAGGCCTTGACACTCCTTCGTAGGCCTTGACACTCCTTCGTGAGCCTTGACACTCCTTCGTAGGCCTTGACACTCCTTCGTGAGCCTTGACACTCCTTCGTAGGCCTTGACACTCCTTCGTGAGCCTTGACACTCCTTCGTAGGCCTTGACTCTCCTTCGTAGGCCTTGACACTCTTTCGTGAGCCTTGACACTCCTTCGTGAGCCTTGACACTCCTTCGTGAGCCTTGACACTCCTTCGTAGGCCTTGACACTCCTTCGTGAGCCTTGACACTCCTTTGTAGGCCTTGACACTCCTTCGTGAGCCTTGACACTCCTTCGTAGGCCTTGACACTCCTTCGTAGGCCTTGACACTCCTTCGTGAGCCTTGACACTCCTTCGTAGGCCTTGACACTCCTTCGTGAGCCTTGACACTCCTTCGTAGGCCTTGACTCTCCTTCGTAGGCCTTGACACTCCTTCGTGAGCCTTGACACTCCTTCGTGAGCCTTGACACTCCTTCGTAGGCCTTGACACTCCTTCGTGAGCCTTGACACTCCTTCGTAGGCCTTGACACTCCTTCGTGAGCCTTGACACTCCTTCGTAGGCCTTGACACTCCTTCGTGAGCCTTGACACTCCTTCGTAGGCCTTGACACTCCTTCGTGAGCCTTGACACTCCTTCGTAGGCCTTGACACTCCTTCGTGAGCCTTGACACTCCTTCGTAGGCCTTGACACTCCTTCGTAGGCCTTGACACTCCTTCGTAGGCCTTGACACTCCTTCGTGAGCCTTGACACTCCTTCGTAGGCCTTGACACTCCTTCGTGAGCCTTGACACTCCTTCGTAGGCCTTGACACTCCTTCGTGAGCCTTGACACTCCTTCGTAGGCCTTGACACTCCTTCGTGAGCCTTGACACTCCTTCGTAGGCCTTGACTCTCCTTCGTAGGCCTTGACACTCTTTCGTGAGCCTTGACACTCTTTCGTGAGCATTGACACTCCTTCGTGAGCCTTGACACTCCTTCGTGAGCCTTGACACTCCTTCGTGAGCCTTGACACTCCTTCGTAGGCCTTGACTCTCCTTCGTAGGCCTTGACACTCCTTCGTGAGCCTTGACACTCCTTCGTGAGCCTTGACACTCCTTCGTAGGCCTTGACACTCCTTCGTGAGCCTTGACACTCCTTCGTAGGCCTTGACACTCCTTCGTGAGCCTTGACACTCCTTCGTAGGCCTTGACACTCCTTCGTGAGCCTTGACACTCCTTCGTAGGCCTTGACACTCCTTCGTGAGCCTTGACACTCCTTCGTAGGCCTTGACACTCCTTCGTGAGCCTTGACACTCCTTCGTAGGCCTTGACACTCCTTCGTAGGCCTTGACACTCCTTCGTGAGCCTTGACACTCCTTCGTGAGCCTTGACACTCCTTCGTAGGCCTTGACACTCCTTCGTGAGCCTTGACACTCCTTCGTAGGCCTTGACGCTCCTTCGTGAGCCTTGACACTCCTTCGTGAGCCTTGACACTCCTTCGTGAGCCTTGACACTCCTTCGTAGGCCTTGACTCTCCTTCGTGAGCCTTGACACTCTTTCGTGAGCCTTGACACTCTTTCGTGAGCATTGACACTCCTTCGTAGGCCTTGACACTCCCTCGTAGGCCTTGACACTCCTTTGTGAGCCTTGACACTCCATCGTGAGCCTTGACACTCCTTCGTAGGCCTTGACACTCCATCGTGAGCCTTGACACTCCTTCGTGAGCCTTGACACTCCTTCGTAGGCCTTGACACTCCTTCGTGAGCCTTAACACTCCTTCGTGAGCCTTGACACTCCTTCGTAGGCCTTGACACTCCTTCGTGAGCCTTGACACTCCTTCGTAGGCCTTGACTCTCCTTCGTAGGCCTTGACACTCTTTCGTGAGCCTTGACACTCCTTCGTGAGCCTTGACACTCCTTCGTGAGCCTTGACACTCCTTCGTAGGCCTTGACACTCCTTCGTGAGCCTTGACACTCCTTCGTAGGCCTTGACACTCTTTCGTGAGCATTGACACTCCTTCGTGAGCCTTGACACTCCTTCGTGAGCCTTGACACTCCTTCGTAGGCCTTGACACTCCTTCGTGAGCCTTGACACTCCTTCGTAGGCCTTGACACTCCTTCGTGAGCCTTGACACTCCTTCGTGAGCCTTGACACTCCTTCGTAGGCCTTGACACTCCTTCGTGAGCCTTGACACTCCTTCGTGAGCCTTGACACTCCTTCGTAGGCCTTGACACTCCTTCGTGAGCCTTGACACTCCTTCGTAGGCCTTGACACTCCTTCGTGAGCCTTGACACTCCTTCGTAGGCCTTGACACTCCTTCGTGAGCCTTGACACTCCTTCGTAGGCCTTGACACTCCTTCGTGAGCCTTGACACTCCTTCGTAGGCCTTGACACTCCTTCGTGAGCCTTGACACTCCTTCGTAGGCCTTGACACTCCTTCGTGAGCCTTGACACTCCTTCGTGAGCCTTGACACTCCTTCGTAGGCCTTGACACTCTTTCGTGAGCATTGACACTCCTTCGTGAGCCTTCCTTCGTGAGCCTTGACACTCCTTCGTGAGCCTTGACACTCCTTCGTGAGCCTTGACACTCCTTCGTGAGCCTTGACACTCCTGCGTAGGCCTTGACGCTCCTTCGTGAGCCTTGACACTCCTTCGTGAGCCTTGACACTCCTTCGTGAGCCTTGACACTCCTTCGTAGGCCTTGACACTCCTTCGTGAGCCTTGACACTCCTTCGTGAGCCTTGACACTCCTTCGTAGGCCTTGACACTCCTTCGTGAGCCTTGACACTCCCTCGTAGGCCTTGACACTCCTTTGTGAGCCTTGACACTCCTTCGTGAGCCTTGACACTCCTTCGTAGGCCTTGACACTCCATCGTGAGCCTTAACACTCCTTCGTGAGCCTTGACACTCCTTCGTAGGCCTTGACACTCCTTCGTAGGCCTTGACACTCCTTCGTAGGCCTTGACACTCCTTCGTGAGCCTTAACACTCCTTCGTGAGCCTTGACACTCCTTCGTAGGCCTTGACACTCCTTCGTGAGCCTTGACACTCCTTCGTAGGCCTTGACTCTCCTTCGTAGGCCTTGACACTCTTTCGTGAGCCTTGACACTCCTTCGTGAGCCTTGACACTCCTTCGTGAGCCTTGACACTCCTTCGTAGGCCTTGACACTCCTTCGTGAGCCTTGACACTCCTTCGTAGGCCTTGACACTCTTTCGTGAGCATTGACACTCCTTCGTGAGCCTTGACACTCCTTCGTGAGCCTTGACACTCCTTCGTAGGCCTTGACACTCCTTCGTGAGCCTTGACACTCCTTCGTAGGCCTTGACACTCCTTCGTGAGCCTTGACACTCCTTCGTAGGCCTTGACTCTCCTTCGTAGGCCTTGACACTCCTTCGTGAGCCTTGACACTCCTTCGTGAGCCTTGACACTCCTTCGTAGGCCTTGACACTCCTTCGTGAGCCTTGACACTCCTTCGTAGGCCTTGACACTCCTTCGTGAGCCTTGACACTCCTTCGTAGGCCTTGACACTCCTTCGTGAGCCTTGACACTCCTTCGTAGGCCTTGACACTCCTTCGTGAGTTTTGACACTCCTTCGTAGGCCTTGACACTCCTTCGTGAGCCTTGACACTCCTTCGTAGGCCTTGACACTCCTTCGTGAGCCTTGACACTCCTTCGTGAGCCTTGACACTCCTTCGTAGGCCTTGACACTCTTTCGTGAGCATTGACACTCCTTCGTGAGCCTTGACACTCCTTCGTGAGCCTTGACACTCCTTCGTAGGCCTTGACACTCCTTCGTAGGCCTTGACACTCCTTCGTGAGCCTTGACACTCCTTCGTAGGCCTTGACACTCCTTCGTGAGCCTTGACACTCCTTCGTAGGCCTTGACACTCCTTCGTGAGCCTTGACACTCCTTCGTAGGCCTTGACACTCCTTCGTGAGCCTTGACACTCCTTCGTAGGCCTTGACTCTCCTTCGTAGGCCTTGACACTCTTTCGTGAGCCTTGGCACTCCTTCGTGAGCCTTGACACTCCTTCGTGAGCCTTGACACTCCTTCGTAGGCCTTGACACTCTTTCGTGAGCATTGACACTCCTTCGTGAGCCTTGACACTCCTTCGTGAGCCTTGACACTCCTTCGTAGGCCTTGACACTCCTTCGTGAGCCTTAACACTCCTTCGTGAGCCTTGACACTCCTTCGTAGGCCTTGACACTCCTTCGTGAGCCTTGACACTCCTTCGTAGGCCTTGACTCTCCTTCGTAGGCCTTGACACTCTTTCGTGAGCCTTGACACTCCTTCGTAGGCCTTGACACTCCTTCGTGAGCCTTGACACTCCTTCGTAGGCCTTGACACTCTTTCGTGAGCATTGACACTCCTTCGTGAGCCTTGACACTCCTTCGTGAGCCTTGACACTCCTTCGTAGGCCTTGACACTCCTTCGTGAGCCTTGACACTCCTTCGTAGGCCTTGACACTCCTTCGTGAGCCTTGACACTCCTTCGTAGGCCTTGACTCTCCTTCGTAGGCCTTGACACTCCTTCGTGAGCCTTGACACTCCTTCGTGAGCCTTGACACTCCTTCGTAGGCCTTGACACTCCTTCGTGAGCCTTGACACTCCTTCGTAGGCCTTGACACTCCTTCGTGAGCCTTGACACTCCTTCGTAGGCCTTGACACTCCTTCGTGAGCCTTGACACTCCTTCGTAGGCCTTGACACTCCTTCGTGAGCCTTGACACTCCTTCGTAGGCCTTGACACTCCTTCGTGAGCCTTGACACTCCTTCGTAGGCCTTGACACTCCTTCGTGAGCCTTGACACTCCTTCGTGAGCCTTGACACTCCTTCGTAGGCCTTGACACTCCTTCGTGAGCCTTGACACTCCTTCGTAGGCCTTGACACTCCTTCGTGAGCCTTGACACTCCTTCGTAGGCCTTGACACTCCTTCGTGAGCCTTGACACTCCTTCGTAGGCCTTGACTCTCCTTCGTAGGCCTTGACACTCTTTCGTGAGCCTTGGCACTCCTTCGTGAGCCTTGACACTCCTTCGTGAGCCTTGACACTCCTTCGTAGGCCTTGACAATCTTTCGTGAGCATTGACACTCCTTCGTGAGCCTTGACACTCCTTCGTGAGCCTTGACACTCCTTCGTAGGCCTTGACACTCCTTCGTGAGCCTTGACACCCCTTCGTAGGCCTTGACACTCCTTCGTGAGCCTTGACACTCCTTCGTAGGCCTTGACTCTCCTTCGTAGGCCTTGACACTCCTTCGTGAGCCTTGACACTCCTTCGTGAGCCTTGACACTCCTTCGTAGGCCTTGACACTCCTTCGTGAGCCTTGACACTCCTTCGTAGGCCTTGACACTCCTTCGTGAGCTTTGACACTCCTTCGTAGGCCTTGACACTCCTTCGTGAGCCTTGACACTCCTTCGTAGGCCTTGACACTCCTTCGTGAGCCTTGACACTCCTTCGTAGGCCTTGACACTCCTTCGTGAGCCTTGACACTCCTTCGTAGGCCTTGACACTCCTTCGTAAGCCTTGACACTCCTTCGTGAGCCTTGACACTCCTTCGTAGGCCTTGACACTCTTTCGTGAGCATTGACACTCCTTCGTGAGCCTTGACACTCCTTCGTGAGCCTTGACACTCCTTCGTAGGCCTTGACACTCCTTCGTAGGCCTTGACACTCCTTCGTGAGCCTTGACACTCTTTCGTGAGCCTTGACACTCCTTCGTGAGCCTTGACACTCCTTCGTGAGCCTTGACACTCCTTCGTAGGCCTTGACACTCTTTCGTGAGCATTGACACTCCTTCGTGAGCCTTGACACTCCTTCGTGAGCCTTGACACTCCTTCGTAGGCCTTGACACTCCTTCGTGAGCCTTGACACCCCTTCGTAGGCCTTGACACTCCTTCGTAGGCCTTGACTCTCCTTCGTAGGCCTTGACACTCCTTCGTGAGCCTTGACACTCCTTCGTGAGCCTTGACACTCCTTCGTAGGCCTTGACACTCCTTCGTAGGCCTTGACACTCCTTCGTGAGCCTTGACACTCCTTCGTAGGCCTTGACACTCCTTCGTGAGCCTTGACACTCCTTCGTAGGCCTTGACACTCCTTCGTGAGCCTTGACACTCCTTCGTAGGCCTTGACACTCCTTCGTGAGCCTTGACACTCCTTCGTGAGCCTTGACACTCCTTCGTAGGCCTTGACACTCTTTCGTGAGCATTGACACTCCTTCGTGAGCCTTGACACTCCTTCGTGAGCCTTGACACTCCTTCGTAGGCCTTGACACTCCTTCGTGAGCCTTGACACTCCTTCGTAGGCCTTGACACTCCTTCGTAGGCCTTGACACTCCTTCGTGAGCCTTGACACTCTTTCGTGAGCCTTGACACTCCTTCGTGAGCCTTGACACTCCTTCGTGAGCCTTGACACTCCTTCGTAGGCCTTGACACTCTTTCGTGAGCATTGACACTCCTTCGTGAGCCTTGACACTCCTTCGTGAGCCTTGACACTCCTTCGTAGGCCTTGACACTCCTTCGTGAGCCTTGACACCCCTTCGTAGGCCTTGACACTCCTTCGTAGGCCTTGACTCTCCTTCGTAGGCCTTGACACTCCTTCGTGAGCCTTGACACTCCTTCGTGAGCCTTGACACTCCTTCGTAGGCCTTGACACTCCTTCGTAGGCCTTGACACTCCTTCGTGAGCCTTGACACTCCTTCGTAGGCCTTGACACTCCTTCGTGAGCCTTGACACTCCTTCGTAGGCCTTGACACTCCTTCGTGAGCCTTGACACTCCTTCGTAGGCCTTGACACTCCTTCGTGAGCCTTGACACTCCTTCGTAGGCCTTGACACTCCTTCGTGAGCCTTGACACTCCTTCGTGAGCCTTGACACTCCTTCGTAGGCCTTGACACTCTTTCGTGAGCATTGACACTCCTTCGTGAGCCTTGACACTCCTTCGTGAGCCTTGACACTCCTTCGTAGGCCTTGACACTCCTTCGTAGGCCTTGACACTCCTTCGTGAGCCTTGACACTCCTTCGTAGGCCTTGACACTCCTTCGTGAGCCTTGACACTCCTTCGTAGGCCTTGACACTCCTTCGTGAGCCTTGACACTCCTTCGTAGGCCTTGACACTCCTTCGTGAGCCTTGACACTCCTTCGTAGGCCTTGACTCTCCTTCGTAGGCCTTGACACTCTTTCGTGAGCCTTGACACTCCTTCGTGAGCCTTGACACTCTTTCGTGAGCCTTGACACTCCTTCGTGAGCCATGACACTCCTACGTGAGCCTTGACACTCCTTCGTAGGCCTTGACACTCTTTCGTGAGCATTGACACTCCTTCGTGAGCCTTGACACTCCTTCGTGAGCCTTGACACTCCTTCGTAGGCCTTGACACTCCTTCGTGAGCCTTGACACTCCTTCGTAGGCCTTGACACTCCTTCGTGAGCCTTGACACTCCTTCGTAGGCCTTGACACTCCTTCGTGAGCCTTGACACTCCTTCGTAGGCCTTGACACTCCTTCGTGAGCCTTGACACTCCTTCGTAGGCCTTGACTCTCCTTCGTAGGCCTTGACACTCTTTCGTGAGCCTTGACACTCCTTCGTGAGCCTTGACACTCCTTCGTGAGCCTTGACACTCCTTCGTAGGCCTTGACACTCCTTCGTGAGCCTTGACACTCCTTCGTAGGCCTTGACTCTCCTTCGTAGGCCTTGACACTCTTTCGTGAGCCTTGACACTCCTTCGTGAGCCATGACACTCCTACGTGAGCCTTGACACTCCTTCGTAGGCCTTGACACTCTTTCGTGAGCATTGACACTCCTTCGTGAGCCTTGACACTCCTTCGTGAGCCTTGACACTCCTTCGTAGGCCTTGACACTCCTTCGTGAGCCTTGACACCCCTTCGTAGGCCTTGACACTCCTTCGTGAGCCTTGACACTCCTTCGTAGGCCTTGACTCTCCTTCGTAGGCCTTGACACTCCTTCGTGAGCCTTGACACTCCTTCGTGAGCCTTGACACTCCTTCGTAGGCCTTGACACTCCTTCGTGAGCCTTGACACTCCTTCGTAGGCCTTGACACTCCTTCGTGAGCTTTGACACTCCTTCGTAGGCCTTGACGCTCCTTCGTGAGCCTTGACACTCCTTCGTAGGCCTTGACACTCCTTCGTGAGCCTTGACACTCCTTCGTAGGCCTTGACACTCCTTCGTGAGCCTTGACACTCCTTCGTAGGCCTTGACACTCCTTCGTAAGCCTTGACACTCCTTCGTGAGCCTTGACACTCCTTCGTAGGCCTTGACACTCTTTCGTGAGCATTGACACTCCTTCGTGAGCCTTGACACTCCTTCGTAGGCCTTGACACTCCTTCGTGAGCCTTGACACTCCTTCGTAGGCCTTGACACTCCTTCGTAGGCCTTGACACTCCTTCGTGAGCTTTGACACTCCTTCGTAGGCCTTGACACTCCTTCGTGAGCCTTGACACTCCTTCGTAGGCCTTGACACTCCTTCGTAGGCCTTGACACTCCTTCGTAGGCCTTGACACTCCTTCGTGAGCCTTGACACTCCTTCGTAGCCCTTGACACTCCTTCGTGAGCCTTGACACTCCTTCGTAGGCCTTGACACTCCTTCGTGAGCCTTGACACTCCTTCGTAGGCCTTGACACTCCTTCGTGAGCCTTGACACTCCTTCGTAGGCCTTGACTCTCCTTCGTAGGCCTTGACACTCTTTCGTGAGCCTTGACACTCCTTCGTGAGCCTTGACACTCCTTCGTGAGCCTTGACACTCCTTCGTAGGCCTTGACACTCCTTCGTAAGCCTTGACACTCCTTCGTGAGCCTTGACACTCCTTCGTAGGCCTTGACACTCCTTCGTAGGCCTTGACACTCCTTCGTGAGCCTTGACACTCCTTCGTAGGCCTTGACACTCCTTCGTGAGCCTTGACACTCCTTCGTAGGCCTTGACACTCCTTCGTGAGCCTTGACACTCCTTCGTAGGCCTTGACTCTCCTTCGTAGGCCTTGACACTCTTTCGTGAGCCTTGACACTCCTTCGTGAGCCTTGACACTCTTTCGTGAGCCTTGACACTCCTTCGTAGGCCTTGACACTCTTTCGTGAGCATTGACACTCCTTCGTGAGCCTTGACACTCCTTCGTGAGCCTTGACACTCCTTCGTAGGCCTTGACACTCCTTCGTGAGCCTTGACACCCCTTCGTAGGCCTTGACACTCCTTCGTGAGCCTTGACACTCCTTCGTAGGCCTTGACTCTCCTTCGTAGGCCTTGACACTCCTTCGTGAGCCTTGACACTCCTTCGTGAGCCTTGACACTCCTTCGTAGGCCTTGACACTCCTTCGTGAGCCTTGACACTCCTTCGTAGGCCTTGACACTCCTTCGTGAGCTTTGACACTCCTTCGTAGGCCTTGACACTCCTTCGTGAGCCTTGACACTCCTTCGTAGGCCTTGACACTCCTTCGTAGGCCTTGACACTCCTTCGTGAGCCTTGACACTCCTTCGTAGGCCTTGACACTCCTTCGTGAGCCTTGACACTCCTTCGTAGGCCTTGACACTCCTTCGTGAGCCTTGACACTCCTTCGTAGGCCTTGACACTCCTTCGTGAGCCTTGACACTCCTTCGTAGGCCTTGACTCTCCTTCGTAGGCCTTGACACTCTTTCGTGAGCCTTGACACTCCTTCGTGAGCCTTGACACTCCTTCGTGAGCCTTGACACTCCTTCGTAGGCCTTGACACTCCTTCGTGAGCCTTGACACTCCTTCGTAGGCCTTGACACTCTTTCGTGAGCATTGACACTCCTTCGTGAGCCTTGACACTCCTTCGTGAGCCTTGACACTCCTTCGTAGGCCTTGACACTCCTTCGTGAGCCTTGACACTCCTTCGTAGGCCTTGACACTCCTTCGTGAGCCTTGACACTCCTTCGTAGGCCTTGACACTCCTTCGTGAACCTTGACACTCCTTCGTGAGCCTTGACACTCCTTCGTGAGCCTTGACACTCCTTCGTAGGCCTTGACACTCCTTCGTGAACCTTGACACTCCTTCGTAGGCCTTGACACTCCTTCGTGAACCTTGACACTCCTTCGTAGGCCTTGACTCTCCTTCGTAGGCCTTGACACTCCTTCGTGAGCCTTGACACTCCTTCGTGAGCCTTGACACTCCTTCGTAGGCCTTGACACTCCTTCGTGAGCCTTGACACTCCTTCGTAGGCCTTGACACTCCTTCGTGAGCCTTGACACTCCTTCGTAGGCCTTGACACTCCTTCGTGAGCCTTGACACTCCTTCGTAGGCCTTGACACTCCTTCGTGAGCCTTGACACTCCTTCGTAGGCCTTGACACTCCTTCGTGAGCCTTGACACTCCTTCGTAGGCCTTGACACTCCTTCGTGAGCCTTGACACTCCTTCGTGAGCCTTGACACTCCTTCGTAGGCCTTGACACTCTTTCGTGAGCATTGACACTCCTTCGTGAGCCTTGACACTCCTTCGTGAGCCTTGACACTCCTTCGTAGGCCTTGACACTCCTTCGTAGGCCTTGACACTCCTTCGTGAGCCTTGACACTCCTTCGTAGGCCTTGACACTCCTTCGTGAGCCTTGACACTCCTTCGTAGGCCTTGACACTCCTTCGTGAGCCTTGACACTCCTTCGTAGGCCTTGACACTCCTTCGTGAGCCTTGACACTCCTTCGTAGGCCTTGACTCTCCTTCGTAGGCCTTGACACTCTTTCGTGAGCCTTGACACTCCTTCGTGAGCCTTGACACTCTTTCGTGAGCCTTGACACTCCTTCGTGAGCCATGACACTCCTACGTGAGCCTTGACACTCCTTCGTAGGCCTTGACACTCTTTCGTGAGCATTGACACTCCTTCGTGAGCCTTGACACTCCTTCGTGAGCCTTGACACTCCTTCGTAGGCCTTGACACTCCTTCGTGAGCCTTGACACTCCTTCGTAGGCCTTGACACTCCTTCGTGAGCCTTGACACTCCTTCGTAGGCCTTGACACTCCTTCGTGAGCCTTGACACTCCTTCGTAGGCCTTGACACTCCTTCGTGAGCCTTGACACTCCTTCGTAGGCCTTGACTCTCCTTCGTAGGCCTTGACACTCTTTCGTGAGCCTTGACACTCCTTCGTGAGCCTTGACACTCCTTCGTGAGCCTTGACACTCCTTCGTAGGCCTTGACACTCCTTCGTGAGCCTTGACACTCCTTCGTAGGCCTTGACTCTCCTTCGTAGGCCTTGACACTCTTTCGTGAGCCTTGACACTCCTTCGTGAGCCATGACACTCCTACGTGAGCCTTGACACTCCTTCGTAGGCCTTGACACTCTTTCGTGAGCATTGACACTCCTTCGTGAGCCTTGACACTCCTTCGTGAGCCTTGACACTCCTTCGTAGGCCTTGACACTCCTTCGTGAGCCTTGACACCCCTTCGTAGGCCTTGACACTCCTTCGTGAGCCTTGACACTCCTTCGTAGGCCTTGACTCTCCTTCGTAGGCCTTGACACTCCTTCGTGAGCCTTGACACTCCTTCGTGAGCCTTGACACTCCTTCGTAGGCCTTGACACTCCTTCGTGAGCCTTGACACTCCTTCGTAGGCCTTGACACTCCTTCGTGAGCTTTGACACTCCTTCGTAGGCCTTGACGCTCCTTCGTGAGCCTTGACACTCCTTCGTAGGCCTTGACACTCCTTCGTGAGCCTTGACACTCCTTCGTAGGCCTTGACACTCCTTCGTGAGCCTTGACACTCCTTCGTAGGCCTTGACACTCCTTCGTAAGCCTTGACACTCCTTCGTGAGCCTTGACACTCCTTCGTAGGCCTTGACACTCTTTCGTGAGCATTGACACTCCTTCGTGAGCCTTGACACTCCTTCGTGAGCCTTGACACTCCTTCGTAGGCCTTGACACTCCTTCGTAGGCCTTGACACTCCTTCGTGAGCCTTGACACTCTTTCGTGAGCCTTGACACTCCTTCGTGAGCCTTGACACTCCTTCGTGAGCCTTGACACTCCTTCGTAGGCCTTGACACTCTTTCGTGAGCATTGACACTCCTTCGTGAGCCTTGACACTCCTTCGTGAGCCTTGACACTCCTTCGTAGGCCTTGACACTCCTTCGTGAGCCTTGACACCCCTTCGTAGGCCTTGACACTCCTTCGTGAGCCTTGACACTCCTTCGTAGGCCTTGACTCTCCTTCGTAGGCCTTGACACTCCTTCGTGAGCCTTGACACTCCTTCGTGAGCCTTGACACTCCTTCGTAGGCCTTGACACTCCTTCGTGAGCCTTGACACTCCTTCGTAGGCCTTGACACTCCTTCGTAGGCCTTGACACTCCTTCGTGAGCCTTGACACTCCTTCGTGAGCCTTGACACTCCTTCGTAGGCCTTGACACTCCTTCGTGAGCCTTGACACTCTTTCGTGAGCATTGACACTCCTTCGTGAGCCTTGACACTCCTTCGTGAGCCTTGACACTCCTTCGTAGGCCTTGACACTCCTTCGTAGGCCTTGACACTCCTTCGTGAGCCTTGACACTCCTTCGTAGGCCTTGACACTCCTTCGTGAGCCTTGACACTCCTTCGTAGGCCTTGACACTCCTTCGTAGGCCTTGACACTCCTTCGTGAGCCTTGACACTCCTTCGTGAGCCTTGGCACTCCTTCGTAGGCCTTGACACTCCTTCGTGAGCCTTGACACTCCTTCGTGAGCCTTGACACTCCTTCGTGAGCCTTGACACTCCTTCGTGAGCCTTGACACTCCTGCGTAGGCCTTGACGCTCCTTCGTGAGCCTTGACACTCCTTCGTGAGCCTTGACACTCCTTCGTGAGCCTTGACACTCCTTCGTAGGCCTTGACACTCCTTCGTGAGCCTTGACACTCCTTCGTGAGCCTTGACACTCCTTCGTAGGCCTTGACACTCCTTCGTGAGCCTTGACACTCCCTCGTAGGCCTTGACACTCCTTTGTGAGCCTTGACACTCCTTCGTGAGCCTTGACACTCCTTCGTAGGCCTTGACACTCCATCGTGAGCCTTAACACTCCTTCGTGAGCCTTGACACTCCTTCGTAGGCCTTGACACTCCTTCGTAGGCCTTGACACCCTTCGTGAGCCTTAACACTCCTTCTTAGGCCTTGAAACTCCTCGTGAGCCTTGGCACTCCTTCGTAGGCCTTGACACTCCTTCGTAGGCCTTGACACTCCTTCGTGTGCCTTGACACTCCTTCGTAGGCCTTGACACTCCTTCGTGAGCCTTGACACTCCTTCGTAGGCCTTGACACTCCTTTGTGAGCCTTGACACTCCTTCGTGAGCCTTGACACTCCTTCGTAGGCCTTGACACTCCATCGTGAGCCTTAACACTCCTTCGTGAGCCTTGACACTCCTTCGTAGGCCTTGACACTCCTTCGTAGGCCTTGACACTCATTCGTGAGCCTTGACACTCCTTCGTAGGCCTTGACACTCCATCGTGAGCCTTAACACTCCTTCGTGAGCCTTGACACTACTTCGTAGGCCTTGACACTCCTTCGTAGGCCTTGACACTCCTTCGTAGGCCTTGACACTCCTTCGTGAGCCTTAACACTCCTTCGTGAGCCTTGACACTCCTTCGTAGGCCTTGACACTCCTTCGTAGGCCTTGACACTCCTTCGTGAGCCTTGACACTCCTTCGTAGGCCTTGACACTCCTTCGTGAGCCTTGACACTCCTTCGTAGGCCTTGACACTCCTTCGTGAGCCTTGACACTCCTTCGTAGGCCTTGACACTCCTTCGTGAGCCTTGACACTCCTTCGTAGGCCTTGACTCTCCTTCGTAGGCCTTGACACTCTTTCGTGAGCCTTGACACTCCTTCGTGAGCCTTGACACTCCTTCGTGAGCCTTGACACTCCTTCGTAGGCCTTGACACTCCTTCGTGAGCCTTGACACTCCTTCGTAGGCCTTGACACTCTTTCGTGAGCATTGACACTCCTTCGTGAGCCTTGACACTCCTTCGTGAGCCTTGACACTCCTTCGTAGGCCTTGACACTCCTTCGTGAGCCTTGACACTCCTTCGTAGGCCTTGACACTCCTTCGTGAGCCTTGACACTCCTTCGTAGGCCTTGACTCTCCTTCGTAGGCCTTGACACTCCTTCGTGAGCCTTGACACTCCTTCGTGAGCCTTGACACTCCTTCGTAGGCCTTGACACTCCTTCGTGAGCCTTGACACTCCTTCGTAGGCCTTGACACTCCTTCGTGAGCCTTGACACTCCTTCGTAGGCCTTGACACTCCTTCGTGAGCCTTGACACTCCTTCGTAGGCCTTGACACTCCTTCGTGAGCCTTGACACTCCTTCGTAGGCCTTGACACTCCTTCGTGAGCCTTGACACTCCTTCGTAGGCCTTGACACTCCTTCGTGAGCCTTGACACTCCTTCGTGAGCCTTGACACTCCTTCGTAGGCCTTGACACTCTTTCGTGAGCATTGACACTCCTTCGTGAGCCTTGACACTCCTTCGTGAGCCTTGACACTCCTTCGTGAGCCTTGACACTCCTTCGTGAGCCTTGACACTCCTTCGTAGGCCTTGACACTCCATCGTGAGCCTTAACACTCCTTCGTGAGCCTTGACACTACTTCGTAGGCCTTGACACTCCTTCGTAGGCCTTGACACTCCTTCGTAGGCCTTGACACTCCTTCGTGAGCCTTAACACTCCTTCGTGAGCCTTGACACTCCTTCGTAGGCCTTGACACTCCTTCGTAGGCCTTGACACTCCTTCGTGAGCCTTGACACTCCTTCGTAGGCCTTGACACTCCTTCGTGAGCCTTGACACTCCTTCGTAGGCCTTGACACTCCTTCGTGAGCCTTGACACTCCTTCGTAGGCCTTGACACTCCTTCGTGAGCCTTGACACTCCTTCGTAGGCCTTGACTCTCCTTCGTAGGCCTTGACACTCTTTCGTGAGCCTTGACACTCCTTCGTGAGCCTTGACACTCCTTCGTGAGCCTTGACACTCCTTCGTAGGCCTTGACACTCCTTCGTGAGCCTTGACACTCCTTCGTAGGCCTTGACACTCTTTCGTGAGCATTGACACTCCTTCGTGAGCCTTGACACTCCTTCGTGAGCCTTGACACTCCTTCGTAGGCCTTGACACTCCTTCGTGAGCCTTGACACTCCTTCGTAGGCCTTGACACTCCTTCGTGAGCCTTGACACTCCTTCGTAGGCCTTGACTCTCCTTCGTAGGCCTTGACACTCCTTCGTGAGCCTTGACACTCCTTCGTGAGCCTTGACACTCCTTCGTAGGCCTTGACACTCCTTCGTGAGCCTTGACACTCCTTCGTAGGCCTTGACACTCCTTCGTGAGCCTTGACACTCCTTCGTAGGCCTTGACACTCCTTCGTGAGCCTTGACACTCCTTCGTAGGCCTTGACACTCCTTCGTGAGCCTTGACACTCCTTCGTAGGCCTTGACACTCCTTCGTGAGCCTTGACACTCCTTCGTAGGCCTTGACACTCCTTCGTGAGCCTTGACACTCCTTCGTGAGCCTTGACACTCCTTCGTAGGCCTTGACACTCTTTCGTGAGCATTGACACTCCTTCGTGAGCCTTGACACTCCTTCGTGAGCCTTGACACTCCTTCGTAGGCCTTGACACTTCTTCGTAGGCCTTGACGCTCCTTCGTGAGCCTTGACACTCCTTCGTAGGCCTTGACACTCCTTCGTAGGCCTTGACACTCCTTCGTGAGCCTTGACACTCCTTCGTGAGCCTTGACACTCCTTCGTGAGCCTTGACACTCCTTCGTGAGCCTTGACACTCCTTCGTAGGCCTTGACACTCCTTCGTGAGCCTTGACACTCCTTCGTAGGCCTTGACACTCCTTCGTGAGCCTTGACACTCCTTCGTAGGCCTTGACTCTCCTTCGTAGGCCTTGACACTCTTTCGTGAGCCTTGACACTCCTTCGTGAGCCTTGACACTCCTTCGTGAGCCTTGACACTCCTTCGTAGGCCTTGACACTCCTTCGTGAGCCTTGACACTCCTTCGTAGGCCTTGACACTCTTTCGTGAGCATTGACACTCCTTCGTGAGCCTTGACACTCCTTCGTGAGTCTTGACACTCCTTCGTAGGCCTTGACACTCCTTCGTGAGCCTTGACACTCCTTCGTAGGCCTTGACACTCCTTCGTGAGCCTTGACACTCCTTCGTAGGACTTGACTCTCCTTCGTAGGCCTTGACACTCCTTCGTGAGCCTTGACACTCCTTCGTGAGCCTTGACACTCCTTCGTAGGCCTTGACACTCCTTCGTGAGCCTTGACACTCATTCGTAGGCCTTGACACTCCTTCGTGAGCCTTGACACTCCTTCGTAGGCCTTGACACTCCTTCGTGAGCCTTGACACTCCTTCGTAGGCCTTGACACTCCTTCGTGAGCCTTGACACTCCTTCGTAGGCCTTGACACTCCTTCGTGAGCCTTGACACTCCTTCGTAGGCCTTGACACTCCTTCGTGAGCCTTGACACTCCTTCGTGAGCCTTGACACTCCTTCGTAGGCCTTGACACTCTTTCGTGAGCATTGACACTCCTTCGTGAGCCTTGACACTCCTTCGTGAGCCTTGACACTCCTTCGTAGGCCTTGACACTCCTTCGTGAGCCTTGACACTCCTTCGTAGGCCTTGACACTCCTTCGTGAGCCTTGACACTCCTTCGTAGGCCTTGACTCTCCTTCGTAGGCCTTGACACTCCTTCGTGAGCCTTGACACTCCTTCGTGAGCCTTGACACTCCTTCGTAGGCCTTGACACTCCTTCGTGAGCCTTGACACTCCTTCGTAGGCCTTGACACTCCTTCGTGAGCCTTGACACTCCTTCGTAGGCCTTGACACTCCTTCGTGAGCCTTGACACTCCTTCGTAGGCCTTGACACTCCTTCGTGAGCCTTGACACTCCTTCGTGAGCCTTGACACTCCTTCGTGAGCCTTGACACTCCTTCGTGAGCCTTGACACTCCTTCGTAGGCCTTGACACTCCTTCGTGAGCCTTGACACTCCTTCGTAGGCCTTGACACTCCTTCGTGAGCCTTGACACTCCTTCGTAGGCCTTGACACTCCTTCGTGAGCCTTGACACTCTTTCGTGAGCATTGACACTCCTTCGTGAGCCTTGACACTCCTTCGTGAGCCTTGACACTCCTTCGTAGGCCTTGACACTCCTTCGTGAGCCTTGACACTCCTTCGTAGGCCTTGACACTCCTTCGTAGGCCTTGACACTCCTTCGTGAGCCTTGACACTCCTTCGTGAGCCTTGACACTCCTTCGTGAGCCTTGACACTCCTTCGTGAGCCTTGACACTCCTTCGTAGGCCTTGACACTCCTTCGTGAGCCTTGACACTCCTTCGTAGGCCTTGACTCTCCTTCGTAGGCCTTGACACTCTTTCGTGAGCCTTGACACTCCTTCGTGAGCCTTGACACTCCTTCGTGAGCCTTGACACTCCTTCGTAGGCCTTGACACTCCTTCGTGAGCCTTGACACTCCTTCGTAGGCCTTGACACTCTTTCGTGAGCATTGACACTCCTTCGTGAGCCTTGACACTCCTTCGTGAGTCTTGACACTCCTTCGTAGGCCTTGACACTCCTTCGTGAGCCTTGACACTCCTTCGTAGGCCTTGACACTCCTTCGTGAGCCTTGACACTCCTTCGTAGGACTTGACTCTCCTTCGTAGGCCTTGACACTCCTTCGTGAGCCTTGACACTCCTTCGTGAGCCTTGACACTCCTTCGTAGGCCTTGACACTCCTTCGTGAGCCTTGACACTCATTCGTAGGCCTTGACACTCCTTCGTGAGCCTTGACACTCCTTCGTAGGCCTTGACACTCCTTCGTGAGCCTTGACACTCCTTCGTAGGCCTTGACACTCCTTCGTGAGCCTTGACACTCCTTCGTAGGCCTTGACACTCCTTCGTGAGCCTTGACACTCCTTCGTAGGCCTTGACACTCCTTCGTGAGCCTTGACACTCCTTCGTGAGCCTTGACACTCCTTCGTAGTCCTTGACACTCTTTCGTGAGCATTGACACTCCTTCG